AGTGATAAGGCAGAGAACATCCGGGTACTGTTAGAAACCGCAGTTAAGAAACGACTAATGGCCGACAGATGGATTGGTTGTCTATTGTCAGGTGAGTGTCTATGATTGCAACATGTGAGTGCAAGAGTATAGTTTTCATGGCTGTAATTGCTGTCAGGCTGAATTCCATAGTTTCCGAGGCAGTGTTCCCAACGAAAACAATAAAATGATACAGCTTTCCTGTTGGACAGTTCTAAGAATACCAAGGACAACCTGACCTCCCAGTAGAAGGATAGTATCCAGCCACTACCATCTAAATCCTTCTTACTACAGTTAGGTCAGCATTTGCTGGATAGTTAATTCTTTGAAAGTATACACTAAAAGCTTATCATCCCAAGAGGGTCTGGCCTCGAGTCATGTAACGGCGCTGATGGTGAAGAATGCCAGGGAACAGAAGACCTTCTCTATTGGCATGGAGGAGAGTACAGATATCATGGCAGCCAGGAAGGTAAGTCTTGAAGCATTACATTACCCAATCCAGACCTTCTCTATTGGCATGGCGGGGAGTAAAGATCTCATAGCAGCCAGGAAGGTAAGTCTTGAAGCATTACATTACCCCATACAGACCTTCTCTATTGGCATGGAGGGACGTACAGATACCATGGCAGCCAGGAAGGTGAGTCTCGAAGCATGGAATTACTTTCCCTTGTGTCGAGCAATATTCCTGCAGCCCAAGCTTTGGTGTCATTTCACAACTTTCGAGGTACAATCGAGTGTGCTCTTTCAACAAAGATTTCAAAGAGCAGCATACAACTCTTGCTCAGAAGTTGTTTGATCAAGGTAACATTCAAGGCCTCAGCAAAGCAATTTTCTTGTGTACCATATATTCCCATGTTTTGTCAGGCGAACAATATACTTGCCTTCGCATGTGTTTATGGCTGGTGCCAACGGTGTGGCAGGATACGCTCACCTAGCCACGGTATCATCAATATTTGATAGTGATTCATAAACACTATCACTGTCATGGAAAGCATCCCAAGGGGGTCCCCCATCAAGGCATATACAAATGGTGTTGAGTTATAACCATTATCCTCTACTTCCACCAACGGCGTCAATTAGCTTTACATGTTATTACAATATTGGGTGAAAACAGCGCTAACACAATGGAAAGCTAAAAGACGTCAGTTCATTTGCATTCTAAACTGACGGCCAAAAGAAACGTGACCAACATTAACTGATTTGCAACTTTGAAACAAAGATGCCAACCTGTTCACAAACAGTAAAGAACACATCTCATGAATACAGCCGTCATGTTCTCTGTCGTTCGTTGCACGTGCTTTACGGATTTTGGGAGATATTGGTGTTTTTCAGCATGTTTGAATAAATTACGCACGGATCTGTTCCCTATCATTGGTTGCGATGATTAACACCAACGAACATGCCAAGACTGTCCGCTGTCCAGAGGGAGAGAGCCATAGGTATGCTGCAGATGGGAGCGACACAGAGAGCGATTGCCATTAACATGAACCGCTCCAAGATGACCATTACCAGACTGGTCGCACGTCTCCGACAGAATGGCAGAACCGCAGACAGACCACGGAGTGGCAGACCAAAGGTCACGACCCCGCAGGATGACCGCTATTTACGGGTACTTCATCTGAGGAACAGATTTCTCACTGTGACGTCATCAGCTGCCAACAGCTTAGGACATCCGGTCAGCAGACAAACAGTGACCAGACGACAAAGACATTATGGTCTCCGGGCTTATCGCCCTTTCAAGGGCATGACCTTGACTCGTCAAAATCGACGTGCCAGATTGACGTGGTGCAGGCAAACTCAGCGATGGCAACAAAGGGAATGGCGGCGAGTGCTGTTTAGTGACGAGAGCAGGTTCCAACTCTTCAAACCTGATGGGCGGACGCGAGTTTATCGACGACGTGGTGAACGTACGGCTCCTTGTTGTGTCCAGGAGGTGGAACCTTACGGGGGCGGAAGTGTGATGGTCTGGGGCGGCATTTGCGGGGACGAGAAGACGGAACTTCTCATCCTCGAAGGCAATCTGACAGCACAACGCACAATATCTTACGGCCAGTGGTTCTTCCTTTCATCCAGCGTCAACAACGGACGGTGTTCCAACAAGATAACGCCACACCCCATAAAGCCCGTATTACTAGAAACTTCCTCAACGCCAACAACGTGACTGTCCTGCCGTGGCCAGCTCGATCACCAGATCTGTCACCCATAGACCATCTCTGGGACCAGCTGGGGCGTCGTCTTCATCCTCCCTTCACGAGACACGCGTTGATCGTTGCCCTCCGTGAGGAGTGGAATCGGATACCTGCAGTCGATGTGAGGATGCTTGTCTACTCAGTTCGACGCCGCGTTCGAAGATGCATTGCCGCTCATGGAGGTCATATCCCGTATAGAACGGTCTGGGCCGTCGTCACCTTAAAGATGTAACCAATGTTGTTGATCGAATACTGGACGAATGACCCCTTTTCAAGAAATGTCCCTGTTGGAGGTCAAGGACTTTGTTGTTGAATGAGCAAGGTGAACGTATTCGTGCATGCAGGTCGCTGTATAAGTGCAATAATCTAATTTTGTCTATGGTATTAATTAAAATAATAACAATCCAGAACTAAGTTTAGATATGTTTGTTTGTTGTGTAATGTCGCAATATTCCAGCTATATCAGGCGGCCTTCCACAAATAGTATTTGTTTAGTACTTATCTCAGATCTGTTTGACCCTATCAAGTTGATTTCCTTTGCCAATATTTGTTTGTTTGTTTGTTGTTTAACGCCGCACTCAACAATATTCCGGCTATATGACGCCCGGTCTGTACATAATGGAGTCTGGATCAGAAACTCCAGTGATTGACATCATGAGCATCGATCCACGCAATTGGGATACGATGACATGCATCAACCAAGTCAGCGAGCCTGACCACCCGATCCCGTTAGTCGCCTTTGCCAATAAACAGACTTTGATCATTTTACTGAAATTAACTTCACCACCGCTTCAGGAAATTAACGAGTAGAATAACCACAGCAAGGTGTATATTAATTTGCAAGTGACACTAAATCAACAGGACTGAAGTTTAGGGAACAAATACTGAACTAATTTGTGTCAGCGTTGCAGATAATCATCTGGAGTCAAGAGCAAAACGTATCTCCATAATGACATGTTTAACATGCCAAGACAACTACTTAAACTATATAAATGATTAAACTTTAACTGAATTTGTTAACTAAAAAACTGTGAATTAGAGTTTCAATTAGCACCAAGCCAGTTCCTCAGTTTCCACAGACGGACATAACGTCAAAGCTAAATGTTTTTCTGGGTGATCTCCCCAAATGAATAGAATAAGTATACATGGGACTGACTCATTAAGATGTCCTGGTAGAACTACTCATAGTACGGAGAGATTTGTAAAGCATCTTATGACAACCGTATTAAGGCTAGCATGACAGGACCTGCCATTCCTGCTTGGGCAGGAAATGATACGGCTCCTGTCCTAAATAAAAGAGACAAAGCCCTTTTCATAATCATAATATTAAATTAATATTTGCTTAAAGCATATTCCATTGTACGGTCCTACTATATCACAATCATATGTTTTAGAATCACTATCAAATAGTGATAACCTGTGTTCGCGAAAAGGTGAGCGTATCCTGCCCCACCGGTGGCACCTCACAAACACATGCAAAGGCAGGTCAAGTGTTCACCTGAAGAAAGACAGCACGGGAACATGTGTTCCACTCTTAATATGAAACAGATGTGATGGTATCACTGGCCTCTGATATTTCTAGCTCAGCTGGGTATATCAGTGGATAGGAATTTGCTCTGTGACCATTATAGAACGACATCAGATCATCGATATACCTGAAGCTTAAGTTCAACTTCTTGACCAAATTCCGGTTGCAGTTTGCCAATCCGGGCAAAACTTCTGACTCGTGTGCACAACAAACATCGCCCAGCAACCATAGGAGCACAGTTGGTACCCAATGAGATGTCTACTTCTTGCCTAACTGTCCCGTCTATTATTTCACATAAACATATCTAATATCTCATGTTTTCTCTGTGAACATCACATAACTTACATTTTCTGTCATATTTTGAAAATGAAGACAGATGTATAACTATATCTGTGATATAGTTATATCACTATATATTTAGTGACAAATGGATGAAAGTTTTCCTTAAGTTTGCCATGTGGGATAGTGAAAACTCTAACCTTTGACACAACTGAACTTGGTTCGTTTCTGAGATATAAACATATTTTTATCCGGAATCGCCACAGATAAATGGTCACAGGCGTGGAACTATATCTTCCAGCACATCATGACTGACGATTTCGGTAACTCCATATATAGAATCATTACTGGTACCATTTAAGAACAAATATAAATATGTGGAACCAAGTTTGGTTTGGTTTGGTTTGGTTGTTGTTTAACGCCGCACTAGAGCTATATGACGGCGGTCTGTTAATAATCGAGTCTGGACCAGACAATCCAGTGATTGACATCATGAGCATCGATCTTCACAATCGGGATACGATGACATGCATCTGTCAAGTCAGCGAACCTGACCGCCCGATCCCGTTAGTCGCCTCTTACGACAAGCATAGACGTCTTTTCGGCAAGCATGGGTTGCTGAAGACCTATTCATCCCGGATCTTCACGGCAAGCATGGGTTGCTGAACACTATTCATCCCGGATCTTCACGGCAAGCATGGGTTGCTGAAGACCTATTCATCCCGGATCTTCACGGCAAGCATGGGTTGCTGAAGACCTATTCTACCCCGGATCTTCACGGGTCGTGGAACCAAGTCATGTTTTTTATTAGCAGCTATATCACAGAAGCATGATAACAAATGAAATCGTAATACATTTTATATCACGACCTCTACATTGACTTATACACTAATTTACCAATGATGCTGGAGATGGAATAATCTTTCCAGTCACTGCTTCAAGACAAACAATTTTCATTGAACGCCAAAATCTTGAAAATAATAATTCATTACATATATTTTCCACGACATTCAGCATGACCAGCAATATTTATTTATTTTTTGTAAAACCGGGGTCACAAATATTTGTTTCTGGTATTTACACAGAATATCATATGGTCGGCACCTCTGGGGATGTCAGGCAGGTTTGCTTATAGTGATTAAGTGTTCTGGCGGAGGGGTCCGTGGCGTCCACCCAGCGCGGCATCCACATACAGGGAACCCAGGCTGACTTGGAGGGGTAGTACTTCTCGAACACTTGCCTGTAATACATGGCTTCCTTCGTCTCGGGGGTGTTGAAGGGGTACAGAGACGCTGCCTGTTCCATCGCTTCATCACTGACCTGAAGCAGTGGTTATGTCAGTGAATGGATTGTCAACATGACCAGGGTGGTGACATGACAGCATCCAGCCTGGACACATCCCCAGAACAGTCACATGAGTCGACAGTGTGAGTACCTGATGGTAACGGTTCGTTGGTTGGTTTGTTGTTTAACGCCGCACTCAGCAATATTCCAGCAATATGGCGGCGGTCTGGAAATAATCAAGTCTTGACCAGGCAATCCAGTGATTAATATCATGAGCATCGATCCACACAATTGGGGTCGATGACATGCATCAACCAAGTCAGCGAGCCTGACCACCCGATCCCGTTAGTCGCCTCTTACGACAAGCATAGTCGCCTGTTACGGCAAGCATGGGTTGCTGAAGACCTATTCTACCCCGGATCTTCACGGGTCTGATGGTAATTTTACATGCTCTCACTGCTTTCTGTACTAATGCAGCCAAACATTGGAACTATTACTCCACTGTGCTAGTGGTTGAACCCGCAACCAAATGGCGGTTATTTTTAAATACAGTGTTGCCAAGTACTTCCATCTATATCTTTGGTTTGTTTGTCAAGTGAAATTTATATTTATCAGGTAAAATGTACCTTATGACGTCACACCTCACCTGTTTTTCACAGATCTCTTGAATAATTTCAAACAGGGGCTTTTCGACTGATGAAACTCCATCGCTAAATCCTTCTTTGGGCCTCCACAAGATGTCCTTGGGCAGGAGGTTCACCACATCAAAGGCTGACCGGAGGAGGTACTTCTCCACCCCCTTCTGAGGGACGCGGTCCTCGTTGGGGAGGGACAGGTAGTAGCTGGTGAACTGATGGTCAAGGAAGGGGACCCGGATCTCCAGTCTATAGGATAGGTATTAGTCTCGGAATTTTCATAGATAATAGTATGTAAACTCTTGGTGCTGAAACACTCAGACGTATGTAACACTTTTTATTTATAGCAGCATACTTAATGGTTGCAAGAGCACGATTAATATAAAATCTTCCAGGAACCTTCCACTAGGCTACCCGACCGTATGGTTTTACGCCGCTTTTAGCAATATTCCAGCAATATCACGGCGGGGGACACCAGAAATGGGCTTCACACATTGTACCCATGTCGGGAATCGAACCCGGGTCTTCGGCGTGTCGAGCGAACGCTTTATCCACTAGGCTACCCGACCGCCCCCATATCCACAAGAAAACTTGACAAAAGCAATTGTCGATTGTTCGATACCGACTATATCATGAGCACGTGTTTAAGAATGACTATCACATTGTGATAACAGGTGTTCGCGAAAAGTTCAGCGAATCCTGTTCCACCGGTGACACTCATCACAAACACATGCAAAGGCAAGTCAATTGTTCACCTGAAAAAACAACACGGGAACATATGATAGAAGTCAAAATTGAAAATGCCCTCAACGGGACTATCATATCATATTGTAACCTTGATCAAACAACTTCTGAGCAAGAGTCGTATGAGGCTCTTTGAAATTTTGGTAGAAAGAGCAGGCTCGATTGAAGCTCAAAAGTAGTGAAATGTAGACACCAAAAGACTGGAACTGTAGGAATAATGCTCAACAAGGCAAAGTTCACTTTTGGAAAGTGGAAGTCATCCCTCTTGTCATACCTTTTTGGGGATATATTTTCACTCTGAATGTGAAACAGACGAGTCTTGGGGAGAGTGTTTTGTCACTCTGAATACTTATGCATAGATGTGAATATGAAACAGATGATGCGGTCTAACTGGTCTCCTTTATTTCAAGTTCAGGTGGCTAAATCACGATTAACTATAGCAATATGAAAGAATCGGATGTTCCTTTACTTCCTTTGAGTAGCATATATGTTATACACTATACCATGCCGTTTTAGCTTTGGCCAACATTTTTAGATAATTGTAATCTTAATTACTTTTGATTTCAATAAAACATAATTTTAAATTGTGTTCATATTTTATATCATGATGAAATTAATTCCATATTTCAGCAAAAACAGTTCACATGTAATGGAGTACAACTTATTGATGCATACCAACCAACCAACTATTTAATATATGTATAGCATCAAGTATAGTATAATCATTACCTGCACGTACATGATCATTCAAGAGCTACCATTGCGGAAGCATCTAGTAGACTGAGCGACACATCAACCGGAACGTCTGTGTCACGAATTGATACGTTCAAATCCTTTAAAACGAGACATTTCAAAGGGCCATGTTCCATTTCCCATCATTACTTTAAGGATTGTTTTTTACTTTTATGATCACATTGTGTGAGTGGCTGATACTCTCGGTTGGGGAGAAATAAAGATGCTTACCCTTTTAGCGAACACCTGGTGTCAACACTGATTTCCAGCGGTACATTCATGTATTTTTCACAATTCTTTTGCCTTTTACGCCAAATTGGATCTGTTTTGATGGCAGGATCAACACACTACCATTCACCTCACGCCCTTTGTCTTCTTGGCGGGGGCACGGGTGGCCCAGTCGTCTAAGGCGCCGCGATTCGCTGTGCAGAGTTGCACCATACCCGTGCTCGTGGGTTTCATCGAAGTGGTAAACGTCAGAGACCTGCATCACTTCGGGCTTTCCTCCCACATTAAGCTGACACGCCGTGATATAACTGGAATACTGTTAAAAGCGGCGTTAAACCAAACTCACTCACATACTCACTCTTGGCACGTTTTACATCAAGGCCGTAGTTAACTTTTTCTGACAAGGGGGGCAAATATTTGTACAAGTATCACTGTATCAACAAATAAAACGGCGTTAAACAACAAACAAACAAACCTCATCAACTCACCCCCAAGCCGCTGTTGCCCTGTCTGCTCTCAAAACGTCATACAGAAACAGTTTGTCAAGCAGTCTCCGACTCTCCTGGTCCGCGGCCTCAGCTGATGGAGCTTTGTGGAAGTAGATGTACCCCTGGGCCAGCTCGTCAGACCCCTCCCCGGACAGGATGACCACTGTGTCTGTGTTCTCTTTGATGTACTTGCTGACTTGGAACATACCTGGAAATGCATACATATTGTTCATTTTAATAGTACCAGCGTGACAATGATATTTTTTGGCAAGAGCGAAACATTTCCTATTCTGGATCCTGTGTTTGAAGTTCGATCCATGTCTTTTCAATAATTATGTTATAAGTAATTTGAATGGGATGTAAAAACATTTAGCGTTTTTGGTCAGGGGTCAATGTGGATGTTTTCATACTGTCACGTGATCTGTTCCAGACCAATTAATACGGCGTAAGTGTATTGTGATATGATAATGTTGTCATTACCAACTGCGCCCCGGATGGTTATAATATCATAGGTCTCAAGATGCCAGATTATGTCCTCCAAGACGTCAAGGACGTCCTCTGCTGTGAGGATAATCTCATGATGTTCGGTACCTAGGAACTGCGCTACCTGCCAACCAAAAGTAAAATGTCAACATTAACCTTTTACCTGCATTGTTTGTTTGTTATTTAACGCCGCACTCAGCAATGTTCCAGCTATATGACGGCGGTCTGTAAATAATCGAGTCTTGACCAGGCAATCCAGTAATTAATATCATGAGCATCGATTTCGCTAATGGAATCCGCGCCGATGACATGCATCAACCAAGTCAGCGAGCCTGACCACCCGATCCCGTTAGTCGCCTCTTACGACCTGCATTGAAGTGTAACGGAGGCCAGACAAAACCTCTGAAAATTGGAACATGAAATTGATTTTTAGGTAACATATTATGATGACGAAATACAACCATTATTCATACAGCATTATATTTTTTCATTTTTTGAAGATATACAGCTTCCAGTTTGTATAATATATCTGTAATTCACATCCATGGATGAGGTCTGTATGGGGTAATGTAATGCTCTAAGACTCACCTTCCTGGCTGCCATGATATCTGTACTTCCCTCCATGCCAATAGTGAAAGTTTGTATGCGGTAGGGTAGCTTCAGTTCCTTGGCATTTTTCACTAACAGCGCGGCCACCAGACTCGAGTCGAGGCCCCCTGGAAAGTGAAGGACAACGTTTCATGAGAGCACATCTGGTTTTACGCGGTACAATGTGTTCAAGACATGTCACGGTGGTCTGTATATGATCCCCTGTACGCTGACAAAAACCATTAAGCATTTAGTACTGGAAATCATGGGTTGAATCAAGGCAAACTGCAAGTAGTTAGCGGAAGCATTTAGTACTGGAATTCATGGGTGGAATCAAGGGAAACTGCAAGTAGTTGGTGGAAGCATTTAGTACTGTAAAAATTATGGGTGGAATCAAGGAAAACTGCAAGTTGTTGGCGGAAGCATTTAGTACTGGAAATTATGGGTGGAATCAAGGAAAACTGCAAGTTGTTGGCGGAAGCATTTAGTACTGGAAATTATGGGTGGAATCAAGGGAAACTGCAAGTAGTTGGTGGAAGCATTTAGTACTGGAAATTATGGGTGGAATCAAGTGAAACTGCAAGTAGTTGGTGGAAGCATTTAGTACTGGAAATTATGGGTGGAATCAAGGGAAACTGCAAGTAGTTGGTGGAAGCATTTAGTACTGGAAATTATGGGTGGAATCAAGGGAAACTGCAAGTAATTCGTGGAAGCATTTAGTACTGGAAATTATGGGTGGAGTCAAGGGAAACTGCAAGTAGTTGACGGAAGCATTTAGTACTGGAAATTATGGGTGGAATCAAGGGAAACTGCAAGTAGTTGGCGGAAACATTTAGTACTGGAAATTATGGGTGGAATCAAGGGAAACTGCAAGTAGTTGGTGGAAGCATTTAATACTGGAAATTATGGGTGGAATCAAGGGAAACTGCAAGTAGTTGGTGGAAGCATTTAGTACTGGAAATTATGGGTGGAATCAAGGGAAACTGCAAGTAGTTGGTGGAAGCATTTAGTACTGGAAATTATGGATGGAATCAAGGGAAACTGCAAGTAGTTGACGGAAGCATTTAGTACTGGAAATTATGGGTGGAATCAAGGGAAACTGCAAGTAGTTGACGGAAGCATTTAGTACTGGAAATTATGGGTGGAATCAAGGGAAACTGCAAGTAGTTGGCGGAAACAGTGAGTACTGCAAGCTCTGGATGGAAGCAGTGGATGGAAGCAGTGGGTGAAAACAGGATGGAAGAAAGGGACGGAAACGGTTGGTGGAAGCAGTGGATGGAGGCAGTCACGGAAGTTATGGATAGATTCTAAACGCATGTATTGTATTTTATTGACCTCTCAAGACAGATCTCAGTGTGCAGTTACCTTATAAAACGGAAAGAGAAAAACTTATCCCAAACACAACTTTACCTGACAACAAACAACCAACCCTTCTCTCGGCCATTAAACGCTTCTTGACAGCCGTTCCTAACAGCAACCGGATGTTCTCTGACACGTCACTTCCTGTAGAAAACGTAACAATAATTGTTCCATCGTATGCGATACCAGTGTGTTGTTGAACTACTAAACCAGAATGATAATGTTTCTGCGATAAAGTTCGGTTTTGACTTTGTAAAAGTCTGCATTGGTCAACAGTATCACATCATTCTGATCTCGTTGAGGACCTCTTCAACGTGAAAGAAAATATATATTTGAATGCTCGTTTTTCACAAACCAAACCGGTATGCAATATCAAATGATACTCTACACGAAACTGACAAAGACACCAACATCTGAAGAAATCCCCTACCTAGTGTACCCGAGAAGATCCGGGGTAGAATAGGTCTTCAGCAACCCATGCTTGCCGTAAAAGGCGACAATGCTTGTCGTAAGAGGCGACTAACGGGATCGGGTGGTCAGGCTCGCCGACTTTGGTTGATGCATGTCATCGTATCCCAATTGCGTGGATCGATGCTCATGGTGTCAATCACTGGATTGTCTGGTCTAGACTCGATTTTTTACAGACTGCCGTCATATAGTGGCGTTGGCGAGTGTGGCGTTAAACAAACAAACAAACAAACAATCAAAATATTCTATGCCATTCTATTTAATAACAATCAAAACAAAAACCCTACCTAGTGAGTCGGAGTCTAGAGGTGTTTTATACAGGGGCATGTCGCCAATAGAATGGAACTGTTTCATCTCCCGGAACGTGGCTCGTCCGTTGTTGTCGAGGTCGTACTGTTCCACTGTACCGGGGGCGACGGGGACGATGTTAGCATCCTCATCAGTGAGGTTGTGCGTTAGACCAAATAAGCCTGTGCGGGGTAAAGAATTTATTGTTGTCAAAATTATGGTTTAATTGGACACGGACACTTCAAGGAATATTCCTAAATTCGAGACTTCTTCAAACTCTCCATTATAATAATTTATGTTATGCATCATTCCTGTAAAGCATGTGTACACTCTATTCGCATTTTAATGGAGCCACTGGTATATTTAATGCTGTTTTCATGTACGTGTATATATATTGAACCGCAAAAGAAACGTCACCCAAAGTAACATTGCATGAAAAGTTGTCTGGGTAATTTTTGTCAAAGTTTTTAAAATGTAACAATACCTTGTCCGGAAAAATGAAATTTGATGATAAAAAAACAAAGCAGAGTACAATAAAACCGATCGCCCAAACGCATCACGGCAACGGCCATGGTAACCCGATGCACGTGAGTTCCGTGCAAATTCAAATGCACATGCGTTCCCCCATTTCTTGCCCTATAAAAATCCACCCAGATCGGATAACATTCATTCGTTATTGAATTGCTACCACATGCCAAGATTGACAAGAAATCAGTGACATCAAGCCCTTGGACGATTGCAAGCTGGACAAACCGCCCGGCAAGTAGCCAATGCATTTCAAGTCCACGTAAGGACCATATACATGCTCCAGCAACGGTACCAGACCACCAACACTACAGATGGCCGACCACGTAGTGGAAGACCAAGGGTCACAACTCGACGTCAGGATCGTCAGACGCGACAGCATCTTCAAGATCGCTTTGTTACTGCTGCGGAAACTGCTCGACAGACCATGGGGACTCACCAGCGACACATTAGTGCAGACACCGTGCGTCGACGATTGACGAGCAGACACCACCACCGTCACAGGCAACACCGAGGACCCATTCTGACACAACGTCATCGCCGGGACCGTCTTCAGTGGGCATCACGGCACCAGCATTGGCGCCACCAGCAGTGGAGAAGAGTCCTCTTCTCAGAGCCGTTACTGTATCTCAACAGCAGATGGCACAGAGAGAGAGAGAGAGAGAGATAGAGAGAGAGAGAGTCTGGCGACGTCGTGGGGAACGTTATTCGGATGCTTGTGTTGTTGAGAGAGACTCGTGGGGTGGTCCGAGCATCATGGTGTGGGGTGGAATTGGTCTTGCACAGAGGGTCGGCCCTGTGGTCTTCCAGAACATCGGTCCATGGAGAGGCAATGGTGTCACAGCAGCTCGGTACATTGATCAAGTTTTGAGACCACACGCCATACCTCATTTGGCACGTCGCTGCAACCACGAGTTTCAGCATGATAACGCCCATGCCCGCACTGCGAGAGCAACAAGAGACATCCTCCAGCAGAATGGCATCAGAACCATGCAGTGGCCTGCCTTCAGCCCCGATTTAAATCCCATTGAGCACCTGTGGGACGAGGTTCAAAGACGGCTGAATGACGTCCGACCAAGGCCGGCAGCTGCAGCTGAACTGCGTCAGGCGTTCCTCAGAGTGTGGGCTCAAGTGCCTAAGGCCTTCATCAGACGCCTCATCCATTCCATGTATCGACGTTGCACGAAAGTCATCAATGCACATTGCGGACGCACGAGATACTGACTTGTAATGCCATTTTCTCAGAGACTTTAATTTCAACCTTGATGATCCGTTTTGCCAAGTTTCATCTTTTTAATATGTCTCAAAGTAAGTTTACAGTGTTTGGACAAATAAGGTTTCTCATATATCTGTCCATGTACGTTTCTTTTGCGGTTCAGTATATTATCAGTTTTTAAGTTTGGAGTGTCGATAAATAATAGTTATTTTCCTACCTGAAGTTGAGTAGTATATATGTTATGAAAGAATCTAGTATTGTGTATAGCTATTTTCCTAAAGCTTCTTATTCATATGATAAACTGAATTTTATAGACAGTATATAAAATATGAATTACCATTTTCACTATTAAACAAATAATTAAATTACCTTTAATATCACATAGAGATATTGTTAAAAATCACGGACCTTTCGCCTCCGAGCACACAGCTAGGAAGCCATTGTCTGTGACAAGCTTGAAGCTGGGGCGGACTCCAAACGTGTCCCGACCAATGAAGACCTTCCTGTTAGCCGTGTCGAGGAGACAGAAGGCGAACACCCCATCCAGGTGGGCGGGGAAATCAATACCATATTTGGCATAGAGATGTATGATTGGTTCTGTGTCACAGTTGGTGCTCAGATGAAAATCATGCTCTTTTGCTACCTAGGATTAGATATCACAATTCAAATATGCAGGAGTAGAAGGCTACTCAGTGTGTTTGATCAAACGTGAGCGTTCTTGTGACAGATGTTAGAGGCTTTACATATATTACTTCCCATATGCCCATGACTTAATATGGAATAACACTGCAGGTCTAAGTTACTTAGTATGAACGTAGCGTCCAAAACCTATTGTACAAGATAACGTGAACATGTATGATTGGAATTTGATGACATATAGCATACGTGATCTCTAAGGCAGGTCTCCATCACATCAACATATAGGGATGACTTTCGTATAAGGCCACTTGCGGTAACATTATGAAACTTGGCTCAAAATTCAGGTAACTTCGGAATAATGCTTGAAAAGTCAAAGCACTTTGCAATCAGTTTTGATGACTTACTCAAAACCTGTCATGTATCAAGGTCCTGACTGTGTCAAGGTCATTCACTCAGGAGTATGGGTTTACGCCGTTTCTAGCAATATTCCAGCAATATCACGGTGGGGGACACCAGAAATGGGCTTCACACATTGTGCCCATGTCGGGAATCGAATCCGGGTCTTCGACGTGACGAGCGAACGCTTTAACCACTAGGCTACCCGATCGCCCCCACTCAGGACAGGATTTGTTATAGTTTCATTCAGAAATTATTGTCAGTGTGGTGTAGAGACGACATATGTTTAACACCGCCGGGGTGTGCGATAAGTGAGGCTTTTGGATGTAAATTAGATGGCACGACGGTCAAGGTCACAAGGTATAGGGTGGACATATGACACTGTCATGTCAAATGTGAAGGTCATTCAAACATAACAGTATAATTCGGACTGTATTAACAGTTAGCTACAGTATCTTTATTACTTATTATTACTTTATTATTCATAGTTGCAACAAATTATGCTTTCAATGTGAAATTGTCTGGTTGAGACTGAACGTCAAGATCATCGAACCGGAAGTGCTAACCATGTTCTTCTCCCTTAGTGAAACCAGAGGCATAGGACATATAATTGCAAAAAGCCAAAGTAATACCTTAAGACGTGAAATGCTTATAACGTTATCATAATGGTAGCTTCAGGCGTTGAAATTATGTAACGTTCGATCTGTGAAATGTTTAGTCATTTGATAAAATGGCTGTGACCCCTTGTCATGTGTGTAATGTATTGTGCATGTTGTGGGCGGCACAGTTACCCATTGCTGTAAGCGACCGGAATAAAACGCACACGTGCTTTACAACAACCTGCCTTATGTCGTTCTTACAATATGGTAAAATGACTTGAAATAGTCATCGTGTCCAGTGACGAAGCGTCACAGTATGGTGAGACAGTTTTGCGGCATTCGGGAAGGATGGTTATATGGAGGAATGCATAAAACAAGGATTCTTTCGATAGGGTATCAGTTTACATGTGAGTACATATATACAGTGTTACGTAACACAGGGCAGTATTCGTGTTTGAAGAATTGCCCTACAGAATGAGTGACAGGATGACCTACTGATTTATAGTTGTAGATCTCCCCGTTGTTTATCAGCCATATGTGAGGATGGGTGTACAGTCTCATTGGCTGCATCCCTCTGACGTCATCAACGATAGCCAATCGGTGGAAGCCGAGACAACAGTTCTGGAGATGGTTGATGTTTTCTATCCTGAAGGCGTCTGGTCCACGATGTGCGACCTTATGGGCAGCTTTACACTGCACGGAGACATGTACATCACTACCGAACACGGCCCAGATCCCACACATGGCGTTGTCACAAAGCAAGCCTCTGAGGAAATACAATATCATCCCTAGGTCCTTTCTCTTTTCTAAAACCACTCAATGAAAAAAATAAAAAAATATAATGATTGATGAATATGTATTTATAATATAACCACCTCCACATCTGCTGTCGCCAATCTCAGGATATGCAACGCATGAACATGAAGTCCTGATGTCAGATACACTACTTGTATCTGGAGAGTGAGGGAGTGGGTATGGTTTTACGCCGCTTTTAGCAATATTCCAGAATATCACGTTGGGTGATGCCAGATATGGGCTTCACATATTGTACCTATGTAGGGAATCGAACCCATGCTTCAATGACAAGCAAACGCTTTAACCACAGGCGATATCACCGCTGCCTCCTGGAGAGACTATCGATCGGGTATTGCTTAGTTTAGTCCCGAAAATGTGACAATATCAACAAAAAACGGCAAGGTTTAAAAAATTATTGTGATTAGTAGAGGACAGCGCTTTGGTAGCCAAGCCAGCAGGAGTTGAAGGCATGCGCACGCCCTCCCGGAAACGGACGTGACGCCATCTTGGATGCGCACGCATGACCCGGCATGCCCCTCTTCGCCAGTCCAAGATGGCAGCACTTCCGGTAGGGGAGATAACTCCTGCTGGCTTGGCTACCAAAGCGCTGTCCTCTACTACTATGTGTTCCTTTGTAATGAAAGGTTCACCGTCAAGCATATATTGCAAGGGATTCATATCATGCAGGAAGCAGAGGAACGGTAAGTTCCTATGATCCCCTTCGAGGTGACATAGCTTTGGTCACTGCTTTCATATACCCCGTGTTTTAACTGTATGGCGAAATCAAAACACGAGAATTTGGTCACAATGTACATCGCAAGCTTCAGGCATATCGATGATCCGATATTGTTCAATAATGGTCCGTTTGGTACAAAGCCCATTTCTGGTGTCCCCCGCCATGATATTGCTGGATTATTGCTAATGCGTTGTGAATCCATACTCACTCACTCACTCAAGACAGTGAAGTAAAGTTATGCTTGATTAAGGGACATGATAAATGATGAAATTATTCAACCACTTTTGTACTCTTAGTGACGTATTTGTGAAAGTGGATATGTTGCAACTGTTAATTTTACTAGCATTTCGCGTCGTAGTGTTATTGTCACGAGGCTCATGTGTGCACGTAAATGGCGTATGAGTGGAATATAAAATTAAGTTTGTTGAAAGGATGGAACACAGCAAATGAAGTCACATGTGTAGACGTGACGCTAGTATTATAGGCATGAAAATGTGATACATATTTAGATAATTAAAGTGAAGATAAATCAATAAATCATAGAAATAAAAGGGAATGTATACCAGATATTATAACAAGAATTGGCGCCATCAAAACAATAAAAGTAACATAATAATAACCAGGGGTGACGGTAGTAGGTCGAGCGTTAGAGTACTAGAGCAAAACAATAAAAGTAACATAATAATAACCAGGGGTGACAGTAGTAGGTCGAGGGTCGGAGTACTAGAGCAAAACAATAAAAGTAACATAATAATAACCAGGGGTGACAGTAGTAGGTCGAGCGTTAGAGTACTAGAGCAAAACAATAAAAGTAACATAATAATAACCAGGGGTGACGGTAGTAGGTCGAGCGTTAGAGTACTAGAGCAAAACAATAAAAGTAACATAATAATAACCAGGGGTGACGGTAGTAGGTCGAGGGTCGGAGTACTAGAGCAAAACAATAAAAGTAACATAATAATAACCAGGGGTGACGGTAGTAGGTCGAGCGTTAGAGTACTAGAGCAAAACAATAAAAGTAACATAATAATAACCAGGGGTGACGGTAGTAGGTCGAGGGTTGGAGTACTAGAGCAAAACAATAAAAGTAACATAATAATAACCAGGGGTGACGGTAGTGGGTCGAGGGTCGGAGTACTAGAGCAAAACAATAAAAGTAACATAATAATAACCAGGGGTGACGGTAGTAGGTCGAGGGTCGGAGTACTAGAGCAAAACAATAAAAGTAGAATAACAAGGGAATATGCGAGTTGCCAGAGACGAAATAGATAAAAAGAGAAAACGTAGAGGAAATTGCCCTCGGGTACATATATGGTTTTCGGGGGGTGAGTGGGTTGGAATGATCTAGTGTAGCTGGCAAAGGTGGTTGACAATGATACATGGAAAAATAAGTAGAACTGTGACGTAGGTACCGGTTTAAATAGGGACAAAAGCCCCAAGATCGAGAGAGCAGCTGGGGAGACGACATCGGGACTGGTGCTCCGTTCTCGGCTTGTTGTCACGATCTTTCGAACCAGAAACCAAACTTAAGCACCAGCATTTCGACTGAGACTGAAGCTTTGCGGCCGAAGTCTCGTATTTAAGTGACAACTAGAGTGGGTTGACCGGCAACACAAAGTGGGAATAAAAGCTGTTACACGAAGATCACTCTTTGTGCTTGTTGGAGTAACTACGGTAATAGGTCCAAGGCCCTCGGGTACTGACATTGTACCTCTCGCACATCCCGGACTGTCAGCACCAAGAACGAGGGGATTGCCGTAGTTCAGGTGAAGAGGTACACGAATTCCTACCTTTAATTAACAGCAATTACCATCAATTAACATCATAAAATTACCTTGGACACTAGTATTAACAAAAATATGTTTTAGGTGAGGTAAGGTGAAATTGGGTTTAACATTGCATCAAAGATTATTGCTCTCATATAGTGACGTGAATGCATGAGTGTGTGTGTGAATGTGTGTGTGGGTGTGTGTGTGTGGGGTGTGTGTGTGTGTGTGTGTGTGTGTGTGTGTGTGTGTGTGTGTGTGTGTAAGAGAGAGGGAGAGAGAGAGAGAGAGAGAGAGAGTGGCTGCTTGTGCGATTTCTAGTGCTAGCTCAAAATGGATCTCTTTATACTCTTATTTGCAGATGACATTATCCTATTTGATAGCACTGTTTTCGGGTTACAAAAACGTTTAGATAAGTTGGTTGATTATTGCAATAAGTGGCAATTAAGGGTTAATTCTACCAAGAATCATTATTTTTCGTAAGGCAGGTAGGCTTAAAAGCTATGAAAAGTTTTTTCTTAATGGCAGCCCTCTTGAGATAGTCCCCAGTTATAAATATCTTGGAGTACATTTTTCTAGCTCGGGTTCCTGGTATAAAACTCAAAAGATATTATCCCAACAAGCTTGGAAGGTAATATTATTGTTACAATCACATATGTACAATTTTTACCAACTTCCCCTGAAAATGTTACTTCGTATTTTTTATGTTAAAGTACTGCCCATATTATTTTATAGCTCAGAGATAAGTGGATTTCATCCCTCTAAAGATATTGTAGATGTTCATGATAAATTCTGCAAGCTTATTTTGAAACTGAGAAGAACTGTTCCTAATATTGTAGCAAGAGCTGAGCTTGGGAGATACTCGTTAAAAGTAAATCAACATCTGAAAATCATTGAGTACTGGCTGCGTTTATTAACTCAGAACGAAAACAGTATATTATATCACACGTATGTGTACTAGTATGACCGGGCAGAAAAGGGTCTAGATTGCTGGGCATTGAAAGTTAAAAATCTGTTGTTTTCCTTTGGATATGGTGAAATTTGGAATAGACAATCAGTTTCTTGTATTCATTCATTTATATCCGCTTTTAGAACAAGATGTATTGATATTGATAACCAGTGTCTCTTTGAATCTTTTGACAAATTATCTTCATTATATTTGTATAAAACAATTAAGCTATCAAATGAATATGAAAATTATTTAAGTGTTGTGAATATTGCTGCATTTAGGAATACTCTCTCACAGTTTCGCACGTCGAGCAGTGATCTTATGGTATCACAGGGTAGAAAGTTAGGTATTCCAAAATGTGAAAGATTTTGTCCATTTTGTATCATTCCAAATGTAGAAACAGAATACCATGTTTGTTTAGTTTTTCCGTTTTATGACGATCTTAGAAGAAACTTTCTGCCAAGTTATTATTATACATCTCCATCAGAGCATAAATGTAAAGTTTTATTTACCACCAGTAATGCTTTCACAATCAATAATCATGCCAAGTGTACATTCTTTGCTCTTAAAATGAGGAGCAAGCAGTTGTCCATTATATAAACTACTAATTCTACCACCATATGTATATGGTCTCAGATACACTTGTACTGATTAGTATTGATATATCTACATGCACTTGTGGCGCAACATGTTTGAATGCTTGAATATATATTGCAAAATGGGCCTGTGGCCTGATTTACTGAATTAAACCACTACTACTACCATCAGTTATACGAAACACATGTAAACTCTATAGAAACGAAGTTGAATGTACAGGTATTATGAGTGAATCATGTAAGGATGATTATCTGTAACAGCCCAATGATCTATAGGCTATGCATGCTGTTAATAAATACTGAGATATACATGCATGTCAGTGTTTGATAGTTATTCAAGTAAGGGCGAGCGAGTGAGTATGGTTTTACGCCGTTTTAGCAATATTCCAGCAATATCACGGCGGGGGACACCAGAAATGGGCTTCACACATTGTACCCATGTCGGGAATCGAACCCGGGTCTTCGGCGTGACGAGCGGACGCTTTAACCACTAGGCTACCCGATCGCCCCTATTCAAATAAGACATTTCTTGACGATAATGAACTATCATGACTGGATATACTTGAATGCATATTAAAGTAGGCAAATACTGTCACATGACAACAGTCCCACTTGGGATAGCATTAATGTGGAGATATTATTACCACAGCTCTATATTCCAATGTCAATTATGTAGATTTTGCACAATGTATTTTAGTGGGGTGATCCCACTTGCAAGAACAATTACACATATCTGATTGATTAACATAAGAAACATCAGCCAGCCACGGGGCAGACAGCAGTCTACACTATAGTGTCTCCACGAATTATACAATAGCTGCAAAGCAATTTGTTATTATCATTAAGACAAAAAGTCAATGCACTCCGGTGATAGTCTTGCTTTCAAAAACGACTACCAACACAGAGTCCCTCGAATCACAAAGAACATTTATAGTACAGGTACGTTATAATTTGTTTTACATATAGGGACAAGGATACATATATCCTAAGTTGTTTCAATTCAGAGGTGAGGTGAAATGGGGTTTAACATCGCGTCTAAGATCATTGCACTTATATAGCGACGTGCATGTACGTGTGTGTGTTTGTGTGGCTGCTTGTACTAGTCCGGACTGATGCCGATTTATAGTGCTAGCTCACTGAGATACCATGCCGCATTTTAACATGAATACCCCACTCAGACACAGTATACTGACTCCGAGCCGACCAGCCCCTTAATGCCGAGCGCCAGACAGGGTAACAACAAGTACCATCTTTTAACGTCTTTTGGTATGACGCGGCCGGGGATCGAACCCCGTACCGTTCGGCTCTCCGGGCGGACGCTCTACCACTAGACCACGGAGGCGATGTCAATTCAGAAAATCAGTAAATAACTAGTAGTTAGTCACTTGAAACATCTTCATCTATAGACAACGTGAACGCATTTTCTTTCTGAGGCAGAAAATTGTCATTATTAGCCTAAGTTCTCATACTGCGTAAGACCCGTGAAGACCAACCCATGCTTGCCGTAAAAGGTCTGGATATAATAGACGCTGGACCAGACAATCCAGTGATTGACATCATGAGCATCGATTCACGCAACTGGGATACGATGACATGTATCAACCAAGTCAGCGAGCCTGACCACCCGATCCCGTTAGTCGCCTCTTACGACAAGCATGGTCACATTTTACGGCAAGTATGGGTTGCTGAAGGCCGATACTACCCCGGATCTTCACGGGGCGAAGGGGCACTGAATGAAATTCTCGCCATTTCCCAGCATGAGCAATGTTGGACGTTACAGCCACACTGACATCTTGCACTTACCCGGCTACAGGGTGTTGGAGCTGACGCTCGACCACACAGACATGCAGTGCCACACACGTGGAAATACGTGACTACTGGGGAGTCGGCTGGCAGTATTCTTCGAAACAGCCGTTTGTTACAACAATATGTTAACTTGTGCTGTAGTTATTCTATCCTGTCAGTTGCTTTGGTAACTCATACACATCTGTAATATATAACGCTTTGCAACTCATACACATCTGTAATATATGACGTAAAAAAAAATACAATTTATCATAAATTAAAATGACTGCGGTGTCAGCTGTTTCCTCGTTGCTGGGACAACACATGTACATGTGAAACCAGGCGTGGCATGAGGCAGCGTGTAAACAAAGCAACAAAACCCTTTCCATTTGCATAAGGTGGTTTGGTTGCTTGTTGTTTAACGCCGCACTCAACAATATTCAAGCTATATGACGACAGCCTGTAAATAATCGAGTCTGGACCAAACAATCCAGTGATTGATATCATGAGCGTCGATTCAAGCATTTGGGATACGATGACATGCATCAACCAAATCAGCAAACCTGACCACCCGATCCCGTTAGTCGCCTCATATGACAAGCATAGTCGCCTTTTACGACAAGCATGGGATGTTGAAGACCTATTCTACCCCGGATCCTGAATTTAAGCAAGGCAGAACCACAGAAGATAGTTCTAAAGATACCACGTCTGAAACTCAAGCAGGGGATGTCCATCGCATGGAAATTACTGTCCGACGTGTTACAAATCAGCATATTGCTGAAACTATTAGGAACAGGTTTGGGTCAGGATGGCTAATCTTAACTCACCCAGTCCACAGGAGCAAACAAGCAAGACACCAGATGAGACTGCACCGTTTATAGAGAATACTACACTCATTCTCGTTAGAAATCATTTTTACGAAACGAGTAGACCTTCTATGGTATCTGACCGAGCGAAAGCGATTTTCATACATCTGTTCAATTACTTTGGACATTCTACCTTGTAACCTTTATTTGTAGAAGTTTCTTCAATCAACATTTTCAAATGATGGTGTTGAATGGACTAGTTGGGATTGAACGGAGTGCTCTGAAACTTGTGTGTTTTGGCATAATTTTCAACGTCAGGGTGTGTTATATTTGGAGTTTGGGATTTGTCGAGTGTGCTGTAATACTTAACTTAGATGGTGTTTCTTGTCACCCGAGATGGACCTACTGTATGACCTGATGCCAGCTTCATTTCTGTGCCCCGTCACTCCTCATCTGCCGCCGCTTCTCGGCCTAGAATGCACGGAGAAGGTCGGCCAACTCAGAAACCGGAATAGTAATTCTACATATATTTTCTCGTCGGTAAAACAGGTAGGCAAGTTTTTGTTTGTTTTTTAATTTAAGTTTCTTTCCTTAACTTTTTCTGTTTCTCAAAATCTTGGATTTCTTTTCCGATACAATAGCGAACCGGGTTGTGTCGGCGCCCACATCTAAGGGACAACATTGTTTTCATTCGCATATTGTCTAGGTGCTGGATTCCTGTCATTTCCGGAAGCAAGGCATCAAAGTCAATATCGCTCAGTAAATAAATTTCGTTCATCTCAGTAATTTTACAGAATTAATTTTCATCACTTGCGTTATAAGCAGATAGATAGCCATTCCATATCCAAATCACCGTAAGGACAGTCCATTTTGTTTCATCTAGCAGCTAGACGGCATTAAACACCAAAACCAACCATTTATTTAATTTTTAGTCAGGTGAAATGTTACAAGACCAGGCAAAAATACTAAATTCATTATATTGCTGATATATGCAGGGATTAAACAGAAAATAGAAAAAACGAGTTGATTGTAAACACCGATCGAGAATTCGGGGAAACCCCGGAAAGTAGTTCCGGCAGTTCACACGACCAATTTCACACAAAAATGTCGATGGGTACTTTTCTGTCCGTTCACAGTTGTGTGAACTCCAAATATCAGATCACGTGACTACCCATTCAGCCAACCAGCATGAAAGAAACATTGTAAACTTGAAGGTATGACATTATTTCACTGTAAAGACAGATGTTATGATCATTTCCTACTGTGCATTCTTAGAATGTGTAATTTGTCCTCGTGACCATATGGTTGAAACGGATGCTGCAGATGCCGTACTGAGACGGAGCCGGACACCCACAGGACGACCTGGACCCATGGTTAGTCATGTGATTTACTGTTTAATGACAAAAAAGATCCGGACATATATGGTTACACAAGTCACTAATGTTCGCATTTATGTTTAAACAAAGATAAAACGTCAATCAACTTCAGTGTATGCATGACCAGATCATCTCAAACATGTATCTCAATACATTTTTCCAGGGCTACGGTCAAACTATTCCCAATCGGACATTTTGTACCTCTCGGGACTTACAGCGGGTACTCGGGTAGGGTCGGGTAATAGGGGGTGGGTACCCGGTTAGTAAATTTGGACTCGTCCCAGCCCTAACCTCTTAGCCTGACCACCTGTTCCGTCTAGTCGCTCGTATGAGAAGCATACTGTGTACATGTAGACTGCAGGGGACCTGTTCCAACCCAGGGGCATCACGTGGGTCATCATGTATACAGAAAGAAAAAAATGATTCCAACATTGTCATGGCAGATATGTAACTTTAACAGGACAAACTCACTTCCATGATAAAATGCTTTATTCCAAGAGAAACTCCATTCATTTGAAATGGTATGAATACAATAACAAATCGCAATGAACAAACACCCTCGTCTTAACTCGGGACAATATATAACATGTAAAATAGATGACATCGAACAGATTTAGCTATTCATCCTTAAAAAATATAATATTCAAAGTTTCTAAAATTTACACAATCACGTATTAAGTGTAAGTCTGAAATACATAAGCACTTCTTCGACAATGATTTTGCAGAAACTGGTGTGGGGAGTCGTCTTTCTTAGGTTGAGCCGCATCAGCTATTATATGATGTCAGCTTACTGAGGTTTATACCGATAAGGCTGCTGGCTGACAATCAAAAACTGTTTAGGGCTTAATGATCACAATGTATATAAAATTGAATCTATCGAACAGTATTGATATAGGCAAGTTGATGGTGTGTAGGATCTTATTTCATTTAATAAGTATGATGCGACACATCTGCTCCTTGAGTGAGTGATTGATGTGGGTTTCACAAAGTATTTCCCTTGTTTCTGGATGTTACAGCTTAATGAGCAAGTGTTGCAGGTTTCTAGTAAAAAGTATGAGCACTGTGCTGAGACCTCGGAACACTATCACTACCCATGACAAAGGGACACAACTCTGCACAACCTTTCCATGGTTTTCCTAAGGCTAAAACAATAATAAGAGTCTTGGTTCTCAGGCACTGCCCACATCATCATAAAGTCCGCCGCAAATTTCGTTTTTATTTCCATTATCAAAATAATCAAAAAATCCTAATTCTTAAAAACAATGCGATCCAATATAGCACACAGTTACTTCCCTTTACATGCACACTGATTTACTGCGCATCTGGTGTTATGGTCATGGTGGTAATAGCAGTTTGCATAATTGTTTATGTAGGGAGGTCCTTACTAGTTTGATCAATCAAAAAACAAAACAAAAAACAAAAAACAAAACAAAACCGCCTGTCCACCTGCACGATGTTTTCATTGCCTGAGAACCAATTCTTTTATTTTTTACGCCTTAAAGACATCTAAAGAAAGTGATCTCTTTCATGTAGCAACAGCACAAAATGATATTTCTTTTAAGATAATGACTGTTCATGTATGATGAATGTTCCTTATGAAATATGTACATTGTGTTATCTACAAAATATTTACATCTTCTACAACATGTGGGGGGCGGTCGGGTAGCCTAGAGGTTAAAGTGTTCGCTTGTCACGCCGAAAACCCCGGTTCAATTACCGACATGGGTACAATGTGGGAAGCCAATTCTGGTGTCCCCCACTCTGATATTGCTGGAATATTGCTAAAAGTGGCGTAAAACCATACTCACTCACTCACTCACTCACTCACTCACTCACTCACTCACTACAACATGTGGACAAGTGAACTATCAAATGCAGGTTAGTATGCCTCAGCTCAGACCTTGAATATTGCTAAAGGAGGCATTTAACCATACTCACTCACTCACTCACTCACTCACTCACTCACTACAACATGTGGACAAGTGAACTTTCAACTGCAGGTTAGTCTGCCTCAGCTCAGACCTTGTCTCTGGTGCTGATCTGGGTAACATTGGCAGATGAACCCAATGAGTAGAGGTATCCAGTTGCACACAGATTTGTTTGAAGACTCAAGTTACCGAGTTCATTGGAATAATGGTCCTCATTCCACAAGCAATCTCAGCAACTAATAGATGACAGTCTTTTAAGACATGACCTTACACCGTTTCACCCCATTGAAGCTATCAGCTACACAGCTATCGCAGCTCCCATTGTTAGCAGACTTCCAAGGGTCGTTGTTCTTCAAATCATTGTAGAATGAAGGTTTTCACGGTTGGAGTCCATCATAACTCAAGCAACAATGTAGCCAGTGAAGCAACATAATCGCGGTGAATTGGGATTTGAAACCACATTCATAGATTTCTGGCGTGCCCAAGGGACACAACTTTTCACAGTGAATTGTACCGCCTTGGACGACTGAGCCACCCAGTGAGGTATATAACATGTGCTACCATGATAGGCAGCTGTAGGGTATGACTGGGTCTGGAGGAGGTTGTACAAGCAAGGCACAATTTGGGAGAGGGTCGTAAAAAACAGTCGTGGCACTGTAGCTCACCTGCAAATGTAGTAAAAACAACAAAGACAGCTGATAGACAAACGTTGCTGTCAGCATTGACACTCAAATATTTTCTTCATAAATACTAAAGGCTTGCGCTAAATTCTAAAAAGAAATAAACAAAATATAATGTCAACATAAGGAGGAACATGTATGCCATCTCCTCCAGTCTGGCAATTTCAGAGGAGGAAAAGTTTACGGAGGTAAAAATTACACTTTTGAGAGAATTTAAAAGCACAGCACAAAGCGATGGTGGTGGTGGTGGTGGTGATGGTGATGGTGATGGTGATGGTGATGGTGGTGGTGATGATATATTGTTGCCCAGGGGTTGGATGAAGGACTTGTAAAACAGTTGATGACATACAAAACAGGGGTTGACACCGTTGGTCAATCCAACTATTCTGCAGGCCCTTTTGGACTAAACATTTATGTAAAATAGTTAGATTTTGGTAGAAAACAAATCCCTCTTGATTTGCATTTGTCTTGGACTAATGGACAAGTGAGTGTCTATCCTTAAAAAATAGGCAACCATCGGTAGGGCTGGGATTGTGTGCTCATGATTCAGGAATCCTGACTACAAGTCTGTGTGTTGCACATTGTATAATGGGTCATTATCAGAATGCGAGCACTATTGTTCTGGGCATTGTGTCTGATTGTGTATGATCCACAGTAGTCAGTGCAGACACTCTCACTGGACAGGTGCGACTTATTCCTTGTCAGAGTAACTATGTTTTCTCTGTCTGAGACTGCTGGAAAGTTCAGTGCCCATGTTGTGACAATGCCTGCACTTCACTTGATGTCCATAAACTGAATGTCCATGACAAACAGGTTGGTGTTGGGCAGTGGTGGAGCACCTGGGGACAGCACATTGAACGTCATTTTCTCCATGTTCACCGACGTCCTGCAATACAAACACTCAGTTAGTCAGAGCATTAGCACATTGAACGTCATTTTCTCCATGTTCACCGACGTCCTGCAATACAAACACCCAGTTAGTCAGAGCATTAGCACATTGAAAGTCATTTTCTCCATGTTCACCGACGTCCTGCAATACAAACACTCAGTTAGTCAGAGCATTAGCACACTGAACGTCATTTTCTCCATGTTCACCGACGTCCTGCAATACAAACACTCAGTTAGTCAGAGCATCAGCACATTGAACGTCATTTTCTCCATGTTCACCGACGTCCTGCAATACAAACACTCAGTTAGTCAGAGCATCAGCACATTGAACATCATTTTCTCCATGTTCACCGACGGCCTGCAATGCAAACACCCAGTTAGTCAGAGCATCAGCACATTGAACGTCATTTTCTCCATGTTCACTGACGTCCTGCAATACAAACACCCAGTTAGTCAGAGCATCAGCACATTGAACGTCATTTTCTCCATGTTCACCGACGTCCTGCAATACAAACACCCAGTTAGTCAGAGCATCAGCACATTGAACGTCATTTTCTCCATGTTCACCGACGTCCTGCAATACAAACACTCAGTTAGTCAGAGCATCAGCACATTGAACGTCATTTTCTCCATGTTCACCGATGTCCTGCAATACAAACACCCAGTTAGTCAGAGCATCAGCACATTGAACGTCATTTTCTCCATGTTCACCGACGTCCTGCGATACAAACACTCAGTTAGTCACAGCATCAGCACATTGAAAGTCATTTTCTCCATGTTCACCGACGTCCTGCAATACAAACACTCAGTTAGTCAGAGCATCAGCACACTGAACGTCATTTTCTCCATTTTCACCGACTTCCTGCAATACAAACACTCAGTCAGAGCATCAGCACATTGAACGTCATTTTCTCCATGTTCACCGACGTCCTGCAATACAAGCACTCAGTTAGTCAGAGCATCAGCACATTGAACGTCATTTTCTCCATGTTCACTGACGTCCTGCAATACAAACACCCAGTTAGTCAGAGCATCAGCACATTGAACGTCATTTTCTCCATGTTCACCGACGTCCTGCAATACAAACACCCAGTTAGTCAGAGCATCAGCACATTGATTGTCATTTTCTCCATGTTCACTGACGTCCTGCAATACAAACACTCAGTTAGTCAGAGCATCAGCACACTGAACGTCATTTTCTCCATGTTCACTGATGTCCTGCAATACAAACACTCAGTTAGTCAGAGCATCAGCACATTGAACGTCATTTTCTCCATGTTCACCGACGTCCTGCGATACAAACACCCAGTTAGTCAGAGCATCAGCACATTGAACGTCATTTTCTCCATGTTCACCGACGTCCTGCAATACAAACACCCAGTTAGTCAGAGCATCAGCACATTGAACGTCATTTTCTCCATGTTCACTGACGTCCTGCAATACAAACACTCAGTTAGTCAGAGCATCAGCACATTGAACGTCATTTTCTCCATGTTCACCGACGTCCTGCAATGCAAACACTCAGTCAGAGCATCAGCACATTGAACGTCATTTTCTCCATGTTCCCTTCAAGTTTGTTTGTTTGTGTGTTGACTCAGCAATATTCCATTTATATGATGGTGGTCTGGACCAGACAATCCAGTGACTGACATCATGAGCATTGATCCATGCAATTGGGATACGATGACATGCATCAACCCAGTCAGCGAGCCTGACCACCTGATCCCGTTAGTCGCCTATTACAACAAGCACAGTCGCCTTTTACGGCAAGCATGGGTTGCTGAAGACCGATTCTACCCTGGATCTTCACGGGTCGAAACGGGTTAACCCCTGCATGTTGACATGAAAACCTTGTTGTACCCTGGTCCCATAAATTTATCAAGGTTGAAACATAGTCATGACTGATGCATAAAACCTCGGACTTTTGATGACTTTGTCATGCTTTTTCATTAATTTATGCAAAGACTGCCAGGAGTCACTCATTCTGCCAGCCGGCATACTCACACAACAATAAATCCCAGCGTGTTCGACTCAATCATGGTCTGTTCGATGGTGGTGGAGGAGTTGATGCTCAGGACATGGTGCAGGATGTTGTTACCTGGAATATTCAACACAGGTAAACATAGACAGTTGAACAGCATCAGTTGAATACAGACACAGAGGAAGAGAGACAGGTGAATAGAGACACAGAGGAAGAAAGACAGGTGAATAGAGACACAGAGGAAGAGAGACAGATGAATACAGACACAGAGGAAGAGAGACAGGTGAATAGAGACACAGAGGAAGAGAGACAGGTGAATACAGACACAGAGGAAGAGAGACAGGTGAATACAGACACAGAGGAAGAGAGACAGGTGAATAGAGACACAGAGGAAGAGAGACAGGTGAATAGAGACACAGAGGAAGAGAGACAGGTGAATACAGACACAGAGGAAGAGAGACAGGTGAATACAGACACAGAGGAAGAGAGACAGGTGAATAGAGACACAGAGGAAGAGAGACAGGTGAATAGAGACACAGAGGAAGAGAGACAGGTGAATACAGACAGAGGAAGAGAGACAGGTGAATACAGACACAGAGGAAGAGAGACAGGTGAATAGGGACACAGAGGAAGAGAGACAGGTGAATACAGACAGAGGAAGAGAGACAGGTGAATACAGACACAGAGGAAGAGAGACAGGTGAATACAGACACAGAGGAAGAGAGACAGGTGAATACAGACACAGAGGAAGAGAGACAGATGAATACAGACACAGAGGAAGAGAGACAGGTGAATAGAGACACAGAGGAAGAGAGACAGGTGAATAGAGACACAGAGGAAGAGAGACAGGTGAATACAGACACAGAGGAAGAGAGACAGGTGAATACAGACACAGAGGAAGAGAGACAGGTGAATAGAGACACAGAGGAAGAGAGACAGGTGAATAGAGACACAGAGGAAGAGAGACAGGTGAATACAGACACAGAGGAAGAGAGACAGGTGAATACAGACACAGAGGAAGAGAGACAGGTGAATAGAGACACAGAGGAAGAGAGACAGGTGAATAGAGACACAGAGGAAGAGAGACAGGTGAATACAGACAGAGGAAGAGAGACAGGTGAATACAGACACAGAGGAAGAGAGACAGGTGAATAGGGACACAGAGGAAGAGAGACAGGTGAATACAGACAGAGGAAGAGAGACAGGTGAATACAGACACAGAGGAAGAGAGACAGGTGAATAGAGACACAGAGGAAGAGAGACAGGTGAATACAGACACAGAGGAAGAGAGACACAGAGGAAGAGAGACAAGTGAATAGAGACACAGAGGAAGAGAGACAGGTGAATACAGACACAGAGGAAGAGAGACAGGTGAATACAGACACAGAGGAAGAGAGACAGGTGAATACAGACACAGAGGAAGAGAGACAGGTGAATAGAGACACAGAGGAAGAGAGACAGGTGAATAGAGACACAGAGGAAGAGAGACAGGTGAATACAGACAGAGGAAGAGAGACAGGTGAATACAGACACAGAGGAAGAGAGACAGGTGAATAGAGACACAGAGGAAGAGAGACAGGTGAATACAGACACAGAGGAAGAGACACAGAGGAAGAGAGACAAGTGAATAGAGACACAGAGGAAGAGAGACAGGTGAATACAGACACAGAGGAAGAGAGACAGGTGAATACAGACACAGAGGAAGAGAGACAGGTGAATACAGACACAGAGGAAGAGAGACAGGTGAATACAGACACAGAGGAAGAGAGACAGGTGAATAGAGACACAGAGGAAGAGAGACAGGTGAATACAGACACAGAGGAAGAGAGACAGGTGAATAGAGACAGGTGAATAGAGACACAGAGGAAGAGAGACAGGTGAATACAGACACAGAGGAAGAGAGACAGGTGAATACAGACACAGAGGAAGAGAGACAGGTGAATACAGACACAGAGGAAGAGAGACAGGTGAATACAGACACAGAGGAAGAGAGACAGGTGAATAGAGACACAGGAAGAGAGACAGGTGAATAGAAACACAGAGGAAGAGAGACAGGTGAATAGAGACACAGGAAGAGAGACAGGTGAATAGAGACACAGAGGAATAGAGACAGGTGAATAGAGACACAGAGGAAGAGAGACAGGTGAGTAGAGACACAGAAGAAGAGAGACAGGTGAATAGAGACACAGAGGAAGAGAGACACAGAGGAAGAGAGACAGGTGAATAGAGACACAGAGGAAGAGAGACAGGTGAATAGAGACACAGAGGAAGAGAGACGGGTGAATACAGACAGGTGATGTGTCAACAGAGCCACAGGAATCACATAAGCTCTTCAACTTCAAATTGCTATTGTTCATCAAAATCACCTCCATCAGGTCATAGAGTATTTAAATGTCAATATCACCCATATGAGTAGAAACATTGAGTGTAATCATGGTAATAACTTTTGGATATTTGCAATTTAGTGATTCTCAAAGCTGATTGGTCAGTTGAAGCCCTATGATGTCACAGTGCTTCACTGTTAAAATACAACCTGACTTCATACATTGTTCATGACGTCACAACTTGATTTCATGACTGAACAATAGTTTGCAATCAGTAAAGTTTATCTAGTGGGTTGACATTTCATAAGATTTTTCTTCATTTTCTCTCTTAAAATGTCAGTGAGTAATATATAGAATAACCCACTCAAAACTCGAAATTATGAACTATCTGCCCCTCGCCAAAGCCTCGGGACTTTCATCATACATTCAGAAGGTACAGATAATCCATCATTCCTCACGTTGGTTATTCTCTAAATAGACTTCCTTCATGATATCAGTGAAATGTCAATAGTAAGCACCAACTGGGGACAAGGTTACTGCTTCACAAGCTTCCAAGCCAAACTTTACAAAGCTTATGTGAGTGAGTGAGTATGGTTTGACGCCGCTTTTAGCAATATTTCAGCAATATCATGGCGGAGGACTCCAGAAATGGGCTTCACACATTGTACCCATGTGTGGAATCAAACGCTTAAACCACTAAGCTACCCCACTGCCCCTCACAAAGCTTAAAGGTCAATTAATGTGTAATTGTTTGACGAAATCTGATGCAATAAAGAATTTACAGTAAACTATGTTTGTAACGAACACGCTTATAACGAAATGGCGAATATAATGAACTGTTATTTTTGGTCCCTGCAATTTGCTGTATAGTGAGTGAGTATGGTTTTACGCCGCTTTTAGCAATATTCCGGTTTTCGGCGTGACGAGCAAACGCTTTAACCACTAGGCTACCCGACCCCCCAAATTTGCTGTATAAATGCTGTATACATGGTTATAAAGAACTACGGTTAAAACAAACTGGAATTAGTGCTCCATTTGATTTTGTTATAAGCGTAGTCTACTGTAGACCAATTCGGGACACTTGCTACAGTATGCTGAATTCTTTGCTTCAAATAAAATGGCTCCTAAATGTGTGCCCCGAAATACTGATGCACAACTCATCCTTTGTTTGTGTAGACTTACTGGGCAGCAGGGGTACCAGCTTGGTCTTGTTGTCCTGGGCTTTCATCCCCAGGGGCAGGCACGATTCGGGCAGGGGTGGGGCTGGCAACACACACAACATTACTCCAGTGACAACATCAACAGTACATGCCTATAACATGTATAAAGGTTCATACAGATACGGAAAACTAAAATTCAAGTCGTTTTCAAGGCCTTTTTGAGGTTTGACTTTTATTTTCAGTGCTGTTAAGTTTTGTTTTTAGCTTATGTCTGTCCACATTTTTGTTTTAAATCAATTATACCATGTATTAATCATAAGATCTGAAAAGCAGTATGAATTTTCACAACCATCAATAAAAGATATTAAGTCAGTCAAGAACTTCTATACATGTACTTATACTAACAGGCATGTATGTCTTTTTGTACAAATTCAAGGCTTTTCAAGCTAAGTTGGTGATTTTCAAGGCTTTTCAAGGTTGACACTAAAAATCAAGGCTTTTTAGAGACAATAATATTTAAGGGCTTTTCAAGCGATTTTTACCTTGTATATATAGCATGCTTAGAATCAGTAGGGTTAAACATTGCTTTGTACGGTATTTCAGTTATGTTAAAGCAAATTGACTTGTTTACCACTTTGAGGAAACTGACGAGTGTGGTCATAATGACAAACCAAGGGTTGTTTGAGAGGCATTTCTTAGAAGGTGACGAATGACAAAGTGGACAAAAAATTTATCGATAAGAACGTCTTTATTATACTGTAATAGCGACATTCAGGTATAGATCTTCATATCGTTGTCAAGGGAAACGTTGCTATTATAGAATAATAAAGAAGTTATTATCTATAAATAATATGTCCACGTAACGGAGGGTCATAATTCAGGTAAATCTGAGAATCACGGAGATCAAATTACGGAACACGAGATCATTGTAATATGCTGCCTGGTTGAGTATTTAGTTCACATGAAGCATGTAAGCTAGTGGTGGGACGGTACACCTATGCTTCGGTGGATTGTAATTTTTTCTTCTCGATACAAGTATCGATCACAGTCACACGCTAAGTAAACAAAATCGATTCTGACCTTAAATGTTTGATTAAATAACTGTTCCACTAAACACTAATCAGTAGTGCAAGTTAATAGTGAAAACATAAATATTTTCATCCATTGCCCCATACTTCAAACTGCCACCTGTAAATCATCAGTGTGCCAGGTATTTGGCCATCCTGTCTATGAAAAAGATGGCTTACGCACCACAGATAAGAGCACATCCAAGTATCGTGATACATATCAGATCGTGAGTAAGGTATCGTGATATGTATTGGATCTCACAGTTGGTGTATCATCCCAGCCCTACTGTAAGCATGGAGAGCTTTATACTCAGTACGTGCAAACTGTTGAGGGCGTACTATACATCATTCATAGTTTGCCTCATATAAATATAGAATACTAAACGAGCTCCCGTGTAATACCAATTTAATGAAACGAGTGAATAGTTGTGGTATGTGATGGGCGAAAGCTTTCGCTCGTGATATACCACAACTATTCACGAGTTTCATAAAATTGGTTTTACATGGGAGCGAGTTGAGTATTTTATTTATTACTTGCTATTTATAACGTTTTTAGAATTATACTGTTGAGTGTGAATAGGCTGACACCTACACGATCCACAGCATAATCCAATTGAGTTTAACACAATAATACTTCAAACACGTCAAAAGTTGAAACATATGAATTTAATACCATACAACGGCCCACCTTTAGAATTCAGGCATCTGTTCGACAAAATTATAGTAGCGTTAAGGTTATCGCAACTCACATACTTTAACTTAGACCAACGACTGTTGTGCTACAGTATGAGGGTTGCTGGGGTCATCGAGTGTGCACAAGCTCCTCTCATTGATCTATCATCTCCACACGCAATGTCGTTGAATAAGCCAAGGGATGTGGAGAGCTTTCAATATTTGTTCGTGAAACGTGTTCCGAGAGTACATAAGCACGCGTTTTGGTATTACACAATGTGTAATACAGCTGTATGTTTATTAAACGGGTGATCTCTTCACGGGCAAGTAATAAATATCATACACATATAAAACATTGCATTACAAAGGCACACACTGGAGCATGGTGCTTTAGACATTGTGATATCACTCTAAATCATTGTCTCTCTGATTACCTCCAATCTTAAATATTTTGACATCTGCAAACTTGACTTCGAACGTGTGAGGGTACAGGGTGTTCTTGATGCCGTAGAAGTATTCCCGCACCTTGGCGTCCCTGCCCTCGGCACGCACGTGTGTTGACCGCTCCACTACCTGACATGGCAAACACAAAACACAGTAATGTCAATAATAGTACCAGATTTCAAATAAATGTGAAATTCAGAGATCATCTTAGGCCAATGTACTGCATTGAGTAGGTGATTGACTGATTGTTTGTTGTTTAACGCCGCACTCAGCAATATTCCAACTATACGATGGCGGTCTGTCAATAATCGAGTCTGGACCAGACAATCCAGGCATCGATCCAGGCAATTGGGATACGATGACATGCATCAACCAAGTCAGCGAGTCTGACCACCCGATCACATTAGTCGCCTCTTACGACAAGAATTGTTTCCTCTTACGGCAAGCATGGGTTGCTGAAGACCTATTCTACCCTGGGCCTTCACGGGTCTTGAGTTTGTGATGGATGTCTATGGTAGGTGTTACGATTAGCTAGCTGTCTACCAAGTCTATGGTGCTTAAAAACCAAAGATGATCATCTGTACATATCTGGGATTCGAACCCACTCTCTACAGACCTTGAGACAACTGTCGCACCTGAGCCCCGACATGATGCTTTGTAATCTAGCATCATGCATATTGTAGTCATGACAATGGCAACCTACTCACCCCTCCTGACTTTGGCAGCAGGATGATCTTGACGAATTCCGGCATGTCTCGTTTCATCTCATTATACAGCCGCTCTTGGTCCAAGACAATCACAGCATCAACTGTGGGAGAAACAAGGGAGATAACTGCTTTTTGGGGGTTTTTTTTTGGGGGGGGGGGGGGTTTTGTGTGTTTTTTTCATTGTTGTTTCACGCCCCACTCTGCACTATTCCAGTTATATGACGGCAGTCTGTAAGTAATCGAATCTGGACCAGACAATCCAGTGACCACCTGACCCTGTTTGTCGCCTCTTATGACAAGTAGTCTCCTTTTACAGCAAGAATGGGTTGCTGAAGACCTATTCTACCCCGGGTCTTCACGGGTCAGATAACTGGAGGTAAAGAGGGGAGATAACTATAGGCAGCTAGGGGAGATAAGTAGAGTGAGTCAGTATGGTGTCACACCACTTTTAGCAATATTCCAGCAATATATATCATACCTTCAAAGGCTCCTGCAGCTTGTTTAATGGCCTCGTATCCCCCTCCTCGTATCCAACCCCCCGTGTTGATGATAACCCCGCTCATATTGGCTGAAACAAACAAGACGAAGGTAACATGTGTTTGTTCTAATAACCTGATTTAGGCATCCACTGACCATGCTGATCCAAACTTTCACAAAATAGACATACAAATTTAAAACAATTAAAAAAAGTTCTCTTTCAGTTAAATTCAGTTTAATTTAAAAGTTTCAGTTTTACTTAAACATGTTAAACAAATACAGTAAAGATCTGGGAAAGAATCTGTTACAAAAAGAGGCCAAACTTTGCTGCCACGTTCCAGCTGTATGACAGCTGCTTGTAAAAAATCAAGTCTGGATCAAACAATCCAGTGATGGTATTGTGAGCAACGATCCATGTCGTCAGGGTACGATGATGTAAGGTTTGGGTACACAATCAACCAAGTCACTGATCCAGACCACCCGATCCGTTGCCTCTAACCACCAACATAGGCTGCTGGGGACCAATTCTTACCCGGCACCCTCACAGGTCGAGGTCTAACTAGATGATAACATTCACATGACCATATTTCAATCTGATAAGTTCCCCCTATTTTTTGTTTGACAAAATTGCTGTTCATTGTGAAATAATAACAGACTATGAATACTAACTGGCAGATTTTCATCCAAATTCCTCAAAAATGTGATTGTTGCAATCGTACACTCCAAGATCATTGAGTAACTTTACTCAAGAGAATTTCTAAACAAATGCCACGGCAATAGGCTAAAAAAAATAATAGTCTTAGTTCTCAGGCACTGCCCTCATCATCATAAAGTCAGGCGCATGTTTCGTTTTTATTTCTATTTTCCAAAAAATAAAAAAATCCTATAACTTCAAAACAATGCGATCCAATATATCATGCAGTTACTTCTCTTTACATGAACACTCCTTTATTGCGCATCTCATGTCGTATTCTAGACTAAAATCTAGTCTCTGAAATGAACATATCGTACATAAAAAAAACAGTTGTTCAGTTATCTTAATAAAAATGTTATAAAAAGGAGCCCAGTGACTCTCTTCATTTTCCTGATACTGCAGTGATCTAGACTTGCCAAACATTATAGACTTGCATGGGCTGTATTTGATATATAATTGTATCAGGGTCTGTAAGACAGACTAGTCGTATTCACATGGCCATGGCGACAATACGAGTTTGTATGCTGGTTTATGTAGGGAGGCCCTTTCCCAGGTTGATGGTACACAACTGTTTATTTGGTTACATACTAGTTTGAACAAGCCAAAAACAACCAAAAACAGCCCCCCTCTATGTTTTTAAAAGCCATTGCCTGTGAACCAATTCTTTAATTTTTTTAAGTCTTATACAGTTATAAGCATGATAAGACGTAAGTAAAAAATAATCGGCAACATCCTCAAAAACTTTGGATGCATGTTCAATACTTTTACACATATCCATAGCTTGAAGACTTAAAGATAAATTGTTTGATAGGCATCACTTAGAAGTTGACGGATGACAAAGTAGACAAAATTTGTGGATAACAACTTCTTTAATACTGTAAAGGCGACGTTTCGGTACAGATCCTTATATCGTTGTCAAGCAAGACATTATACAACAGTATAAGGATCTATACCGAAACGTCGCCTTTACACTATTAAAGAAGTTGTCTACTTAGACATAAAGATGTTTAAAAAAGAGCACCCATAAAAGCATATTGAAGGCTCCAAAGAATCTCAAAGACTCCCAAGGGTCCCTCAATCAAATAAAGGACATGAAAGTGAAGTTAACTTGCCTTTGTTGCTGGATTCACATCGCAGATTGATGACATCGGCCAGTCGCGACACGAGGAGATTGAAGAGTGTGAGATTCTCGCTAGGGGACTTGTGTCCGAAGTGGAAACAGAGTGGTGCTGCCTCCGAGAAGCCCTCCTCCACATCAGCAGGCCGCTCCACGACGATAGCCCCTACATTGGGGGGACAGCATCTCAGTTACAGTAGAGTGAGTGAGTGAGTGAGTGAGTGAGTGAGTGAGTGAGTGCGTGCGTGGGTGGGTGTGTGGGTGGGTGTGAGTGAGTGAGTGCGTGCGTGCGTGGGTGGGTGGGTGTGTGGGTGGGTGTGAGTAAGTGAGTGAGTGAGTGAGTTAAAATTTAACGTCACACAGTTATAACGAACTACAAGGGACTGGAGAAATCAGTTTGTTATATACATTGTTAGTTATATACGTTTTCGCTTGGAAACACCTGCTATCTTGCATAAAACGATAGACAATACACATAATAGCAGCGTTGACTATTAGCGGTGATCACTTCATAGCATTCAAATAATAACATTGTCAGTGATTTTGCTCTGGCCTCGTTTTGCTGACTGCATTCATGAACCCATGTCTTGGTGAGTGGCAGCTCGTAACTTTTACGAGGCGGGGCCAAAATCAGTCAACAAGCAGGGTTTGAGAATGGACTGTCTTCTTAATGATGGTACTTAATGTTGATTTTGAATGTCAAATTCCATTGACACTATAACACAATCACAATATGTTTAATGTTTGTTTTAAGACAAGATTAGTCCAATTACATTTGTTTATTTGTTGTTTAACGCCGCACTCAGCAATATGCCAGCTATATGATGGTGGTCCGTAAATAATCGAATCTGGACCAGACAATCCAGCAATTGACATCATGAGCATCGGTCAACACATTTGAGATGCGATAGCATGCATCAACCAAGTCAGTGAAGCTGACCACCCGATCCCCATAGTCGCCTCTAACAACAAGCATGGGTTGCTGAAGACCTATTCTCTACCCGGATCTTCACGTGCCGAGGAACCTTGAGAACATTTCATAGACGTCTCACTCTCTTTCTGTGGTTTGTTCACCTACCTATTGTTCCTGGGATTCCTATCTGATTCTGAAAGAACAAGAACAAGAACAAGTGTTGAGGCAAATACTACTTCCAGAACCAGGACGTGATGTGTGCACATACATGACTATCAAGAGTGAGTGAGTGAGTATGGTTGTACGCCACGTTTAGCATGTTTAGCAATATTCTAGCAATGTCACAGCGGGGGACACCAGATTGTGCCCATGAGGGGAATCAAACCAGGGCCTTCAGCGAGACAGGCAAACCCTTTAACCACTAGGCTACCCCACCATCCCTGACTATCAAGACATATAAACTTAACTCCATTTACTTGAAATTAATCCTGTCAAAAAAGCAGCATGTTTAACAAAATCAAATGCAGTAGTTTCTTCAGTGTGGTTGGCAGGGATGAAACCCTTGCATATTATGACATGACCTGAACAAATAGGTAATCTTCAGTCTCAATCACATATCTGTGTGTGTGTGTGTGTGTGTGTGTGTGTGTGTGTGTGTGTGTGTGTGTGTGTGTGTGTGTCTGTGTGTGTGGGTGTCTGTGTGTGTGGGTGTCTGTGTGTGTGTGTGTCTGTGTGTGTGTGTGTCTGTGTGTGGGTGTCTGTGTGTGCGCGTGTGTGTCTGTGTGTGTGTGTGTGTGTGGGTGTCTGTGTGTGTGGGTGTCTGTGTGTGTGTGTGGGTGTCTGTGTGTGTGTCTGTGTGTCTGTGTGTGGGTGTCTGTGTGTGCGCGTGTGGCTGCTTGTACTTGTTTGGACTGACTTAATAGTACTTGCTCACTGAGATACCAAGCTGCAGTTTAATATGGATACCCCAATCAGACACAGTATATTGACCCCTTGCCGAAAAGTCCTTGTTTTCTCCAATTAACTTCAATGCTGAACTCCACGCAGGCTAACAACAATAACCATCTTTTAACATATTTTTTAGCCAAGGAATCTAACCAATGATCTTCCACTCTCTGGGCAGACGCTCTATCCACTGGACCATGTTAAGAAAAAGACACATTAGCTGTGATGTTTGGCACACAAAGTAAAGGACTCGTGACATTCCAATCATGTCTGCTTCTCACCTGACCAACGTCTAGATCCGCCAGGACTGGAGCACGCCCGAGCCGCACAGCGTAGTTGCAGAGGAGGCGGCACAGCGTGCTCTTTCCGACATCAGTTGGCCCAACAACAAGCACCTGCACAACACAGACTGACATAAGTGGTGGAGCAATACACCCAACATTGGGGGACTCATGATACTCAGCGAGGTGGAGTGAGTGAGTGAGTGAGTGAGTATGGTTTTACGCTGCTTTTAGCAATATCACGGCGGGGGACACCAGAAATGGGCTTCACACATTGTACCCATGTCGGGAATCGAACCCGGGTCTTCGGCGTGACGAGCTAACGCTTTAACCACTAGGCTACCCGACCGCCCCTTGGCGAGATTGAGGGAAATGGGGTTTAATGTCACGTCCAAGATTATTGCACTTATATAGTTTGCTTTGTTTGTTTGCTGTTTAATGCCGCACTCAGCAATATTCAAGCTATATGACGGCGGTCTGTAAATAATCGAGTCTGGACCTGACAATCCAGTGATTGACATCATGAGCATCGATCTAGGCAATTGGGATACAATGACATGTATGAACCAAATCAGCGAGTCTGACCACCTGACCCTTTTAGTCGCCTCTTACGACAAGCGAAGTGCATGCACATGTGCGGGTATTTGCTTATACCAGTCTGCACCAATGTCGATTTTATAATGCTAGCCCACTCAGATACCATGCCGCAGTTTAACATGAATACCCCACTCAGACACAGTATACTGGCTCCGAGCTGACCAGTCCTTGTTTTAGCCCCTTCATGCCGAGCATCAGACAGGGTAACAAAAAGTACAATATTCTAATGAGTTAAGACACAGCCGGGGATCAAACAATGGACCTTCTGCTCTCCGGGCCAATACTCTACCACTAGACAACGGAGGCGGTCCATGATACTCTGTGTCACGAGTTGAGTATGGTACTGTGAGGTCATGTATTGATACAAAATGATACAAAGTGTTAAAGGTTACATGTAACAGTACATGAAACTTAACTGTAACATACTATTTGCTAATTGCATTTACAAGAGCTCTCAAAACACTTTTCATTAATTAACTCAACACCTGCCATGTTGGCTTTACATGTTTATACTTTATATATGTTTTGATTGGTTGTCTATTGAGTCCCTTTGAAGATGCATTACATCTCATGGTGATTGATTGATTGAACATTCCTGTAAATAATCGAGTCTGGACCAGACAATACAGTGGTCGACATGACCAGCATCAATCCACGTAACTGGGATAGGATGACATGCATTGACCAAATCAGCAAGCCTGTCCACCCGATCCATTTGGACCCTCTTATGACAACTAAAAACATCTTCATTCATGCATCATGCTCATCCTATGTACGGTGTCATTGATTGGAAATTTCAGTATTGAAATAGCGATGGCGTCATATGATGGCAGTCTGTAAATAATCAAGACTGGACAAGACAATCCAGCAACTTACATCAGGAACATCAATCTATGCAAGAGACGATGACACGCATAAACCAAGACAACGAGTCTGACCCCCCTATCTTGTTGGTCGCCCCTTTACGATAAGCATGGGTTGCTGAAGTTCACCTCTAACCCAGATCATCATGACACATCTATTAATAATAACTATTCTGTATATGTGTAAGACACAAATGACCACCATAGTCCTGCCATTTAATGCTAAATATGAACTAGACTGATCCATTAAATGATTAGAAATGAGCACTTCTGATTAAATGCAATGTTTTTATACTTACCTAACGCTACACCTACAGCACTGTGTAGCATCAGGTAAGGCAAAACATGAGCATTTCTGATTATATGCAATTTTTTTATACGTACCTGATGCTACATGGTGCTGTAGGTGTAGCGTCAGGTAAGGTATAACTTGAATTTCTGCCTTCTCATGAACCATCTTAAGCATGGTAATCTAAACCATTGCAAACAATTCTGTTCATCAGTGATTTAGAATATTTTTCATAAATTTGTATCGATACAGGATGACATTAAAAATGTACCGATACATTGATATCCCGATATACAAGGACATCCCCAAGTCATCCCGCTCCTCGTATCTCACCCTTGGTCCGCGGGAGTTCTCGGTATCTGCTTTCTCCCTCATCTGTTCCAGCGCTGCATGTGTATTTACGTACATCACCATCGGGGTCTCCTTGGAAACATAGGCAACTTCCGTCTTGCCGCTGAGGTTACAAGGTCAAGGCCAATGTTGTGTAAACATGATACATGTCATATAAAAGTCCAGATTCCACCCTTGACAAACTAGGCTGGAATTATGGAGTCATATATTTTGGCTGGACTAAGGAGTCTATGTATAGTCCAATCAAAATCTCATAACGAAATCGACATCTGTCATGCAGATTTCAGTCGATTACAGGATTTGCAAAGCATGTGTACATCCAACTCGGTTCCAAATCTGTTCATGTTTTTAAACAAGGTGCTCATGTGATTGGATGCATTTCACAAAGACCCTTTATATTACAAAATAGATTTTGATTATGGATCAGATCATCCTGACTGGAGCCGCGATTTTGTTTGAAGCAAATGCAAATGGTATGAAAGCTGGAATGTGATTGGTCAATAGGAGGGACATAACTCGTAATAGACACTGGTGGTGTTACGATCGAGCCCACAAATTCCAGCCTAGTTCAGCAAGGGTGGAAACTGGACTTTTACAGTCAGTTAACCAATCTGTATGTAATTCTACAGCAATATTGAATACCTATGGGTTGAGATCAGTATCGACAAAAGGTTATAATTAACATGATTAATATTACTATGACTCTGAAAAGCACTTGATTCTGATTGGTCAATCAAGGATTTCAATCACATCTGATTTGTTTATACAGCTGATTTGACATATTTGAGGACAGCATCATTTCTAATACTTATAGAAATTCTTTCTCAATCATTGTCGGTCAGCATTGGCAATAATATGTACACTTGTCTACAATTCACAAGAACTGGGTTATTACAATAGTCACAGTATGTGTGGCAATACATTTGGGGCAGAAAGCAAAGATAGAAACTGACTAAATCAATGTTTTTAAATCGTAGGGAAAACAGACAGCGGAGATTCTGTTTGTTTGTTAATATGTTTGTTGTTTAACGCTGCACTCAGCAATATTCCAGCTATATGACAGTGGTTTGTAAATAATCGAGTCTGGATCAGATAATCCAGTGACTGATATCAGGAGCACTGAGCTACTCAATTGCGATACGATGACATGCATCAACCAAGTCAGCGAGCCTGACCACCCAATCCTGTTAGTCGCCTCTTACGACAAGCATAGTTGCCTTTTACGGCAGATAATAGGTTTCTGAAGATTGCTGATGTTCACATGACACTTCTTTAGTACTGACTGTTATGTCAAATATTCTGTGTCACAATGAATGGTGTGATATAAAAAATAGTAGTATGTGGTCCAGAGCTTACCTCGCCTCAATTTCGTTAGGGGCGACCACTTTATGTTTGCTTATGAAATAGCCTAAGAAACAAAAATACTTCTTCACTGGTTATCTTTGTTTAACATCAACAATATATCTCTTGTGCTGAGAGAGACGAAGAGCGTATCTTGTGTATGGTGAAAGGATATTTTGATGGTACAACCATGCCATGTGAACACGGCCACTTTGGAGCCGGCTTGAAACACATAGCGCTTATTTTTGGTTAATTCCGTGCCAAACACCTCAGCCATTCCATCGCATAACTGAAAGACAAGATCATGTCAACATTTAGTAACAATGGTAACGCATGTTGTTATCAAGAAAATCAGAATTGACAGATATCAAAAGTTCTGATGATCATAATTAACTATTATATACCATTCCATATTATGTATGTATTAAATCACCAGTCATGACAGACTTGTGACAACACCATGTCAGGGATTCTGGGATATGACAAAAGTTATGGGTATTGCCAACAGTATAGTTTCATAAGCGTGGTAAGGCCATGTAGAGAGGGGTTGGGAATGAGTTTAATAAGGAAGGTGTAAAGTCAAGCTCAAACCAAGATTGTTCAGGCCATACAGTTTGTATTGACCTTGATTCTTTCATTAAAATAAAACACAATGGATCAATAGATGCAATGTAATGACCACTTTTTCCTTTGTGTGTTCTATTACTTGTGATATATATACAGAGGGAAGGTTTACAATAAGAAAGGTATTTTCTCCTCTTTTTCTCCATAAAGTGTTACACAGACCGATAATAAGCGAACAGAAAATTGATAAATGGGGTGCTTATTAAAACTATATACAAGTTAAATATATTTTCAGAGATCAAGCGGTAGTAAATAATTAGTTCAAACATTCATGAAACTAACATTTTCTCATAACAGTTACAATGCAATTATTTTCCCCATTTTCAGAGCTGTTTACTGTAAAAAATCTGTAAATGTAGACATTCAGTCTTATGAAGATTACTTACAAATTGGTCTTTAAGTTGGTCAGGGGTGCTTATTGGAGGAGGGTGCTTGATCATGTTAATACGGTTATACATCTTACAATTACACAATACAGTCTACACAACAGGCATAATACTAACTTACATACTTACCTCTAAGTTCACACTTGCTTTAGATTCCACTTCAAATCTTAATTCAGAAAACTTCTCAAGTTTGTATTCTTCCTTTCTCTACAAACAAGAAATATTATCAAGATCATATTTCAGCGAGTACATACATCCAATCTTGCTCTTCAGTTCTGAGATCTCAGGGTCTTTACCAAATGATATAGAAATGGCACTAGTCCTGTGGTCCATGCCAAACTGGTCATGCATACACTGAAGCTGACTGAAGCTTTAACTTGATTCAAACATATAAAAAACAGAAGCAATGCATGCAAAGTCAGAAAGAAAAGCACACATTAGTGACTTGTAGTGTAAGCATGGAGTTAGAGTGAATTTTGTCTTTAAACAATATATCACGTGACAAAACATGGGTCCGGGTAGTCCTGTGGTTAACCATGTCCTACTCAGTACCGACCTGACCCGAGTACACAAGCTACCTGTCCCAGCCCTACTATACATGTTAGATGATGTATGTAATCTACAACCTTCTTACACCTCTTGTCTGTTGACATACGGGCATATTCAGATGTAACTATGGGCTGATGACCTACACCTTGGTAACAAACTGAATTGAATTTGATCAAATGTGTGTATCATTTATAACTTTGTTTATGACAATAAGGTAACATCTTTGGAGTAGGTTCATTTTCAGTCTGATTATTGATCCAGGTTAATGTTGTATGTCGTTTCAGTCACTGCTGGGTCAAGTGTCAACCACATGGGTCATGATTATCAGATTTTATTAGTTCAGTGTACACATCTTATAAAATCTAGCAAATAGTACCCATGATGGGAGAGCTTTTCGAAGTTATTAATGAACCTGTGGCGGTCACATGTGTTAGACATCATCAACCATTTGACCGATCTTTGAAAGATGATTGTAAATTATAATCACCTTTCAAAGATCAGTCAACTGATCTATGGATGTGTCAAATAGATACGAAGGTAATTCATAGATAGCTGTAGACTAACTGTCAGTCTTGGCAACGTTTCTATAGTCCTTGCCAAACTGCCCAAAAGTTAAGGTATCCTAAGGACTAGTAGAAATTTGCCTTTTTCAAGGGTTTCTAGATGTTATCATTATAAGGATTAGGCCTAGTGGACTAAAACTGTTCGATTCTATCACTGAAAATCTGTGTGATATTGACTGATGTTCTAACCAGATTTCTTACTGTATTTGGCAGTGTAAACAAACTGCCTACTTCAGTCTAAAATTGGTTAGTCCCGTTGAACAATTATGTCATAGTCACACTGATTGGGCCCACACACCAGCTGACGATTTTGCATATGGACAATATGCCGATTCGTCTAAACACTGTACCAGCTGGATGAAACTATTCACTGTCGGACTCATATTGTATCCCTAAAACATACCTCTTCTTTATCGTCAGCCATAGCTTTGGTTCTAAGTTGTTCCTTCAAATATTTCTATTTGTTTACGAGTTGCGCCTCACATGCAACATTCAATGGGCGCTGCCATGTTTTGTCACGTGACACACCGTTCGGACATTTTCGGTGCTTTCCGTTAACTGACGCGTTTCGCAGAATGATTGTTTACATGGCGTATTTTATGGCACTTCTAACACTTGTAACATGGAATTATTAAAGAAAAAGAAAATATACCCCGTTGAATTCCTTTCGTCTTTGAAAGATCAGTGTATTTTTGAAACACGAAATGTCAAACACTCATATACTTCAGTTATCAAATCTAGCTACAATCTAGGGGGTGGGGGTGTTAAGGGCTAAGATTGCAAAGGGGTCTGGGTGGTGGTGGTGGTGTGTGGATGGGGGGTGGGTGTCCAAGGGGTAAAATGATAAAGGGGATGTAAATATATAAGATGATCACTAAGCGTTAGGTTATACGAGGGTGCCATGCAGAGGCACAGTCGCGCGCGTGTGTGTGTGACTAACTAAAGTAATGTCAGAAATGCTAGAAAAATGCTTTTCTGGCTTCATTTAAAAAACACGAGTCATAGGGCTATGAAAATTGCATATTTCAAAGTAAGGCAAATTGACCTAATCTAGCCTATCCTAGCCCTGACTGTGATAGTGCCCTGAATTGTACGGAGATAATGTGACCTCATAGACGAGATGGAATATTTCTCTCTGAATATTTCCCCCATAGCTTGGGCAGTTCGGTAATTTTCACACTACCTAAACTAATAAATGGTTCCCTCCATCTCTCTAAAGTGTAAAGTACTAATATGCATGTCCTAGTACCGACTCCATGTCGTGTACCGTGGCTATGGCTATGCAAGTGTAATGTAACATGCATCATGAGAGCAGTGTTGATAAAACAAACGCAGCGTCATTTTGTTATATTAGAAGATGCGCATCTAGAATTTTCTCCATGTGATATTTTTGGTGTTGATTAGATGTTTTCGGAAGACTACATTATTATCATTACAACAAAGTCACGTGCGTATATTTCTATAGTTCGTTTTAGACTGCCATCATTGGACTTATAATATATCCGAACTTTAGGGTTTTCGTTTGAATTTTTATCCTGTAAAATTGTCGATGGGACTCCTTGTAACCGAAATACTTCAAACCACAGGTAGGTCTATCGGTAGTTATTCGATATTTCAATAGCAACAGTCTGTGAAAAGTTCTATCCTTTTTTAACCGGCAAAAAACACTTTTCTAGCATTTCCGACAGTACTTTAGTCCGGACATATGCCGATTTCATAGTGATAGCTCACTGAAAATATCATGCGCAGCCTAACATAAATACCCCACTCAGACACAGTCTACTGACTCCGAGCCGACCAGTCATGGTTTTAGCCCCTTAATGCCGAGCACCAGGCAGGGTAACAACAAGTACCATCTTTTAACGTCTTTTGGTATGATGCATCTAGAGATAGAATGCCCGACCTTCCGCTCTCCGGGCAGACGCTCTAGACCACGGAGGCGGTCACCGAGTGTAGTGAGTGAGTGAGTGAGTATGGTTTTACGCCGCTTTTAGCAATATTCCAGCAGTTTCACGGCGGGGACACCAGAAATGGGCTTCACACATCGTACCCATGTGGGGAACGAATCCGGGCCTTCGGCGTGACGAGTGAACGCTTTAACCACTAGGCTACCCCACCGCCCCGTTGAGCCTTATGTTTCAGTGTTAATCATTGTTCCTGGTGTTTTTCCCCCAAAATATATACAAATTTAAAAGTCCACCAACCTATCTATCCTATTTTGAAACAAAACCGGAACGATTCAATTATTATCAGTGTTTTGAGTAAGTCGTTTTGATATTTAAGAATTGACATCTTTGGCATTTGTGGGGGTAAGATAAAGATTTTACACCGGTTTTACGTGCATTCCTCAATAAACACAAAGATATGTCGAAGTCAATTCTTATTAAAACAAAAAAACAAACAAGTTCAGCAATAATAAATTTACAGACTGCTTATTTAATCAGAGATTCCTCAGTGCAACCCTATCACCATGTTAAACTGCGGCATGGTATCTCAGTGGGTCGACACTATAAAACCGGCGTTAGTCCGGACTAGTACAAGCCGCCATATAGACACGCATGCTCATGCACGTCGCTACATGAGCGCAATAATCTTGAAGCGGTGTTAAACCCTATTTCACCCCACCATTGTTTGTTTCATTTAAACCCGAAAGTCGGAGACTGGAAATTTCCTTACAGAGCCCGGGGTGCCTGGTGACATGACCTGTGTGGAGTTTTTATCACGATCTCTTCGCACGGATGAGAGGTTCCATATCCAATATATGGGTGAGGTTACACGCACGTTGTTGAGCTTTGGATTTTAATCAGGAAATATAGCGACAACAACTTTCCATAATCATAAGAAATCGCTATTGTACGATTACGACTATACCATGAGCATGTGTTGAATCACTATCAAATAGTGATGATAACAGGTGTTCGCGAAATTAAATAGTTGTGCGCAGATATGTTTCTAAGGATGACTTGTTGCCAACAATGGCGACAGTGAGAGCTATCTTTATATCAGAGACCATATAATAGATATAATCTATTATATGGTCTCTGTTTATATATATGTTTATATATATTCAAGGCCCTGAAAAAACCAACACCTACCGAAAATAGTGACTTTTGAAGTGCATCGCCGAAAGCGATATATATTTGTAACGAATACTATATGTCAATATTTATTCCTTTGAAAAACAGACGTGTGTATATAAACAAAGTGCACCCTAAAACAGCGTTCGCTGTTATTACAATAAAGACACCCGCAAAGATCCGGGGTAGAATAGGTCTTTAGCACCCCATGCTTGCTGTAAAAGGAGACTATGTTTGTCGTAAAAGGTGACTAACGGGATCGGGTGGTCAGGCTCGCTGACTTGGTTGATGCATGTCATCGTATCCCAAATGCGTGGATCGATGCTCATGATGCCAATCACTGGATTGTCTGGTCCAGATTTATAACAGACCTCCGTCATATAGCTGGAATATTGGTGATTGTGGCGTTAAACAACAAACAAAAACCATAAAGAGGTGTGTTATTCTTTGCTTCCCTTTATCGTGCCAGGATCCGAAGATCATGAGTTCGAATCTCAGATTAGCCCTGATTATAGTCCTTGGTTTGTCTACACCATATACGTGCGTCATTTTAGGCTTTCTCATACCACATCAGGGGCGGTCGGGTAGCCTTGTGGTTAAAGCGTTAGCTCGTCACGCCGAAGACCCGGGTTCGATTCCCGACATGGGTACAATGTGTGAAGCCCATTTCTGGTGTCCCCCGCCGTGATATTGCTGGAATATTGCTAAAAGCGGCGTAAAACCTCACTCACTCACTCACTCACTCATACCACATCAACACGCCATATACTGGTATATAACTGCAGTAGCGTCGCACCTAACACAATCACTATATTTCATTGTCATTTACATGTGTTACTTTGCATTGATCATTGGTATAGGCATGTAGCATGACAAGTTATTTTATGTTTTATTTTAAATATGACAGATAATAATTTAAAAGGTCAGAGGCGCCCTTGTCCTTGTTTATAGCAGTGACAATACGTAATTGGTTATTATTAATTGTTAGTATCATTAATGTCATCTCAAACAAATATCCTTATCCCGGAAATAACATCCTCGTGTCATTACTAAAAGGGTTAGATTATGTGTGGACAAACCACGAATGCTGCAGCTATAGGGATTCGATCTAGTCAACAAACCCATGTGCATCAGAATAAGTAACAGAATGTCTGTGTAAACAAGAGTTGATACAGGACAATAATGTACACAAATACGTTCAACATGTTTTATTCAATCTGGCACAAAATGGCACAAAGCAACCATCGGTTTACACCTGATAGCCGTCTTTGTCGAGTAAAGGTTCAGATTACACCTCGGTGTAAAAGCCAATTGTTTTTAAAATATCAAAGTTTCTTCACTTGTTCAAATTGAATTTCATGTTGAATCATGGGGATGGCGGATGGAGTTGTACTTAATACTCCTCACCCTCCTCCTCTCCCTCGCCCTCAACAGAGTCGACTCCAACCTCCTCGTAGTCCTTCTCCAGAGCAGCCAAGTCCTCACGGGCCTCGGAGAACTCCCCCTCCTCCATACCCTCACCCACGTACCAGTGGACGAAGGCACGCTTGGCGTACATCAGATCGAACTTGTGGTCAAGACGAGCCCAGGCCTCGGCGATGGCTGTGGTGTTGCTCAACATGCAGACAGCCCTCTGGACCTTGGCCAAGTCACCGCCGGGGACAACAGTGGGTGGCTGGTAGTTGATGCCGACCTTGAAGCCAGTGGGACACCAGTCGACGAACTGGATGGTCCTCTTGGTCTTGATGGTGGCGATGGCAGCGTTGACGTCCTTGGGGACGACATCACCTCGGTACAACATGCAGCAGGCCATGTACTTGCCGTGACGGGGGTCACACTTGACCATCTGGTTGGCGGGCTCGAATGTAGCGTTGGTGATCTCAGCTACAGACAGCTGCTCATGGTAGGCCTTCTCAGCGGAGATGACTGGGGCATAGGTAGCCAGAGGGAAGTGGATACGTGGGTAGGGCACCAAGTTGGTCTGGAACTCTGTCAGATCCACGTTCAGGGCACCGTCGAAACGGAGAGAGGCAGTGATGGAGCTGACAATCTGACCAATCAGACGGTTGAGGTTGGTGTAAGTTGGACGCTCGATGTCGAGGTTACGTCTGCAGATGTCGTAGATGGCCTCGTTGTCGACCATGAAGGCACAGTCAGAGTGTTCCAGGGTGGTGTGGGTGGTCAGGATGGAGTTGTAGGGCTCAACGACGGCAGTGGAGATCTGGGGAGCGGGATAGACAGCGAACTCCAACTTGGACTTCTTGCCGTAGTCGACGGACAGTCTCTCCATCAAGAGAGAGGTGAAGCCGGAGCCAGTGCCGCCACCGAAGCTGTGGAAGATGAGGAAGCCCTGGAGTCCAGTGCACTGGTCAGCCAACTTCCTGATGCGGTCAAGGACGAGGTCGACGATCTCCTTGCCGATGGTGTAGTGACCACGGGCGTAGTTGTTGGCGGCGTCCTCCTTGCCGGTGATGAGCTGCTCGGGGTGGAACAGTTGTCGGTAGGTGCCGGTACGGACCTCATCTGAAGGTAATACGGGATGAGATAAGCATCTTCTACATACTTACATCTAAAATTCTAAAATAATGATATGTTACATGTACCACCACAACGGTTGAGAATACATATTCTGATTGGTGAATGAGACAAGAATAATATGAAAGGAATACCTACCGACAACAGTGGGCTCGAGGTCGACGAAGACGGCCCTGGGGACGTGTTTCCCTGCACCGGTCTCGCTGAAGAAGGTGTTGAAGGAGTCGTCCCCACCCCCGATGGTCTTGTCTGAGGGCATCTGACCATCAGGCTGGATGCCGTGCTCCAGACAGTACAACTCCCAGCATGCATTGCCGATCTGGACTCCGGCCTGGCCGACGTGGATGGAGATGCATTCCCTCTGAAAACCAGACAGACGCGTTTTAGGTAAATGGAATATAACAGTAATGGGTGCATGCACTACACTGCTTGTGATTAAAGGTTGTGTGAGCCCTTTTTGGTTGGATATCTTCAGGTGGTCTAAAACAATATTCCTAACAAAGCATATGATAATTATAATTATGTAGCTTTAAGTAGATCCAGGGGACGGGGAAGAATGATACTAAACTTGATATTTCCTCCTTTTGAATACTGAAATACCCGCTTCAATCTCAACACTCGAACATCAACATCACGTATTGCAATTTTGAACTTAAACAGTTTAACAAACACACAACGTCATCAATGCTTAGTTTTGAACACGAACATTCTCTCACAAAACAAACTATTTAGTTATTCGTTAAAATCTCTGCGTCCGATCACCTGTTCTGGGCCGACCTAGGGGCGTACTTATTACTCATACACTTTGACACGTAACCCGAAACTGTCGCTGAACGTAGAGCTGAAGGGCGTGTTTCTGTGAGCTGTTAGCTGCAATGTTTAACCGAGATCGAGAAACAGCAATGAGGGTACTCACCATGATTGCAGTTTGATACAACAAATCTCACTGGACTGGCGATGAAGTCTGACGGAGAGTTGAAATGTGCCCGTACACCTGTCTCTTGGCTTATATACCCAGCCTTGTTGTGGCCTCGTCGCCATGGCAGGATTATTTGTCCTTGGTTACTGACAACAACGCGAACGCGTCGTTTCTATGTACTCCCGCTGGCTACTTAAGTTTCAAATTACCCCCTTTGTCAATTAAGAAGGGTCCATATATTATTTTTAAGGTACTTACGGTGACGTATTTCTAGAGACGTGTGTGCTGGCAATTCTCATTTTAAAGCTTAAGTAATCGCCATGTTCCCCGCTGTGTCGAAACTGATTAAAGACGTGAACAAATACATATATACCGGGCTGTTCTGAAAGCCATAACAAATACAGCATATGCTTAATGATATGTAGAAACATGTCGTGTCCAATAGCAATATATAATAACGGATACTCCCTGTGCCGTTATACAGAAGTCCTTTCCGAACCGCAGGTTCAGGTATCTTTATCAATAAATGTCAGAAGTATCTGTGTACAAACTCCGTGAACGCAATTACATCGGGATTGTATGTGTGTGATCCTGCACACGTTGGTGATAAATGACGACAGGCGTGTTACAGGCCGTGTTTAATTTAGTTGCCCTCGTATGTTAGAGGCCGGTGTTTGATGGAGACCCGACGTATTGTAAAGACAAATACGTGAAGGAGACCCGACGTATTGTAAAGACCAATACGTGACGAGACCCGACCTATTGTAAAGATCAATACGTGATGGAGACCCGACCTATTGTAAAGACCAATACGTCATGGAGACCCGACCTATTGTAAAGACCAATACGTGAAGGAGACCCGACCTATTGTGAAGACCAATACGTGAAGGAGACCCGACCTATTAAGACCAATACGTGATGGAGACCCGACGTATTGTAAAGACCAATACGTGAAGGAGACCCGACCTATTGTAAAGACCAATACGTGAAGGAGACCCGACGTGTTGCAAAGACCAATACGTGAAGGAGACCCGACGTATTGTAAAGACCAATACGTCATGGAGACCCGACCTATTGTAAAAACCAATACGTCATGGAGACCCGACCTAAAGTGAAGACCAATACGTCATGGAGACCCGACCTATTGTTAAGACCAATACGTGATGGAGACCCGATCTATTGTAAAGACCAATACGTGATGGAGACCCGATCTATTGTAAAGACCAATACGTGATGGAGACCCGATCTATTGTAAAGACTAATACGTCATGGAGACCCGATCTATTGTAAAGACCAATACGTCATGGAGACCCGATCTTTTGTAAAGACCAATACGTGATGGAGACCCGATCTATTGTAAAGACCAATACGTGATGGAGACCCGATCTTTTTTAAAGACCAATACGTGATGGAGACCCGACCTTTTGTAAAGACCAATACGTGATTGAGACCCCCACCTATTGCAAAGACCAATGCGTGATGGAGGACCCAACGTTATTTGGAGCTCAGTCTGAAGGAGATCCGACATAGTTAGAAGTCGGTGTTTTGAGGAACACCAACGAATGTTGGAAATCTGTGTTTGATGGAGAGCCGACGTATTCTTGGGACCGTTGTGTTAGCTGATTTTTAATGTGAAACGCACCTTGTACTTACCAAGTAATTCATAAATGGGGGCTATAACCCACATGAGATCAAATACATCCTACGTAGATATGATATATTTAGACCCAGTAGTCATGCTTCAACGACGAATAAACACCATAACAGTTGAGTTGGCCGAAGGGGTACAACACGTGCAGCTAGAATGTTCTGTCGAAGAATGTGCGTGCGTGCGTGCGTGCGTATAAATGTCGTCCGCGTCGGTAGTGTAAACTACGTAATGTCGCATATAAATCCAGATATCATTGTAATCATAATAACTTTTAACACGAATATTATTGACCACTATTGATAAAGCAGAGACAGACATACTATTTCGTTATAAGATACCATTATATTGAAACAACGTTTTAATACCTAAAGTCTTTCTTTATGATATCGAACTTCGATTTTGTGATATTATTTAGTCATATGAAGAAATTTCAAAATGGAATTACTGATGTCAATAAATAATATCAATTACAAATATCACGAATTCGTTTAGAACTGCCAGTATTAACGATTGAAATGATTGATTTCAATGAATTGATTGATTCATATTACCATTTAATAGAGCCCCCCACAACCTCTGGAGGAACAGGCGATGTTCAGTGGTTATTTAGGAGATAAAACTAATGTCTTTTGAAATTTGGTGCAGTAACAGTGTACAGTAGATACCTTTTCTACCTCTACCTTTTAACCAATCAGAATCAAGCATTCTTCAATGTCATAGTAGAATATCTAGTATCGACTTCTCCTGTCTGTTATATGTCTTGTAGTAGTGTAGTATAAGTTATTACGCTGCTTACATTGGTATTACGGGTTAGAATATGTCACCAGCAGCCGATGTGTTCACCCGAGAAGATCCGGGTCAGAATAGGTCTTCAGCAACCCATGCTTGTCGTAAGAGGTGACTAACGGGATCGGGTGGTCAGGCTCGCTGATTGGTTTATGCATGTCGTCGTATCCCAATTGCGTGGATCGATGCTCATCATGTCAATCATTGGAATGTGTTGACTGTCGTCATATAGCTGGAATATTGCTGAGTGTGGCGTTAAACAACAAACAAACAAACGAACAAAACCTATGATTGTCGTAAGATGCAACTGCACGTAGCGGGTGGTCAGACACGATGGCACTGTGGATGGCGTATCAACTTACCCCGAATGTGTGGGACGGGGTTCTTGATACAGTCACTGATTTTTACAGGCCGTCGTCATATATACACATGCACAAAAGTTAAGCGCCACCATATTCATAGTCTCTTGATTTCACGTGTGGAATCAGAAATACGAAATATGATGATGTATGACTGAATTAGGCTTCCATAGTTCATGAACCCAAATTTGTCCAGATACCACAAGGAAAGCGTGCTTTACGTGTTGCTGCAGTTCCTCTACCCTATAAATAGTGAAATTCAAGTTTCAGACACGTGGTTGCATTTTGCTCCTGTGTGAGATTCCCCTTCCAATAGAGGTTGAAAATTAGCCATGGTGAGGGGAAAGTTAACGAACGCTGAAATATGGCAAGTGATAGGCATGACAAATGCTGTCATGTCATGCAGGGCCATTGCAAGACAAATGGGTCGTCATCACAGTGTTATCACTCGTTTGATTGTCAAACATATTCAAACCAATGATGTCAATGACAGGCACAGATTTAAGACTGCAGTGGATTACCCATCAGAGACTCTCGACGATGACCGTAAGGCGCCGCCTCAGAGCGGCTGGTTATAACGCCAGAAGACCAGTAAAACGTCCTCAACTGACTGAGAGGCACATGCGGAATCGTCTGATATGGTGTCGTGCCCGTAGTCGATGGAACTTGGCCAACTGGAGAAGGATCCATTGGTCTGACGAGTGTCGAATGCTGCTACGAACTGTTGATGGTCGAATACGTGTTTGGAGGCAACGTAATACTCGTTTTGCACCAAGGAACATCCAGAAGACCTTAGCATGTGGCGGGGGTCTGTCATGATATGGGGTTGTGTTTCCTTTCCACTGGTGACAATTCGTGGAAACCTGAATGGCCAACAATACCAAGATGCCGTTCTTCGTCCAGTGATAGTCCCTCATTTTGACAACCATCCTCTTCAGACAAGACCTGTTTACATGGACGACAATGCTAGACCACACAGATCTCGGACAGTTTTGGCTATTTGCGTCAAGAAGCTATTGCCACTCTTCCTTGGCCGGCCTGTAGTCCGGATCTTAATCTGATTGAGCATCTGTGGGACATTCTTGGCCGGAAAATCAGACATCGTGATCCCCCAGTTCAAAATCTCGCTGGACTTGAAGCCGCACTTAATGAAGAATGGATCCGTTTGCCTCAGAGAAGCATTCAACGACTTGTAATGAGTATGAGGCGTAGGGTTGAAGCTGTGGTCAATGTCCGTGGACCATACACACGTTACTGACGTTTCTGTCTTGCAATAGACTCTGCACTCCCTAGGGTGTCTATGTGACACCTGGTATGGTCTGCTGATATCATGACAGTTACATGACAAAAGAAGTTTTTCAATGTTTTCTAATCCTTCAATTTATGGTCTTCGGTAAAATTTCTTTCTGCTCATATTCTTTTGGAACACAAGATAAACTTGCTTTGGGACAACTTTTGCATTACATGAGGTTTACAAATACGGCTTATAACAATCGTACATCTCGTTATAATAGTCATCATTAAGTGCCAAAAGTAACAGCTAACAAATATGGTGGGTGGCGCTTAACTTGTGTGCATGTGTATATATAGTTAACGGGGGCGGGGAGGGGTGTGTGGGGTATTAAAGGGTTATTGAGACCTGTTATGTTTTCAGTTACAGCTGCAACACTTTTATTAATTAAAACCATGCGCCAAAATATTTTTGTAAAACGCGAAATGGACATTTTGAGGCAGACAACTTTCTTTTAAAAACAATATGTAGCCACCATGTTGCTTGTTTGTTTGTTTGTTGTTTAACGCCGCACTCAACAATATTCCAGCTTTTGGACGGCGGTTCTTTAAATAATCGAGTCTGGACCAGACAATCCAGTGATTGACATCATGAGCACCGATAGTCGCCTTTTACGTCTCTTTATTTATAATTTGACATCAGAAATTAATGAAAGGTACGTCTTTAATTATTCACTTCCAAAGCAATCCGCTGAAACATGATACGTTGTCCACGGGTCTGGATGGGGACATGGGCTGACGAACCCTCTTGGTTAGTTAATGTTCCCCGGGAATGCATCAACCAAGTCAGTGAGCCATGGCCACCCGATCCCGTTAGTTGCCTCCTCCTGAAGACCTGTTCTTGCCCGGGTCGTCACGGGTTCATTGGACAAATACAAGAACAGGGACTTATTATACGTCAAAAATATTTGAATTATTATTGGCACAACTACATTTTAGTTTCACCTGAGATCACACTGGTTGTATTGAATGTATAAGTGTCTCACCCTCCCCCCCCCCCCCCCCCCCCCCCCCCCCCCGCCCCCTCCCACATCCCACCCACAACCCCGCTAAATCTCACCGTC